TTCTATAATTTGTCTTCTATTCTTTTCTTCTATAATCTATTCTTCAATATAATTTTGCTTCAATTAGTTTCCTTCTATAGTTTTTCTTCTTGATCTTCTATAAATTGATCTTCTTTTTTCATTCTTGATATTAAATTTTCTGTCTTGAAATCTTCATTGTTATGTAGTTCAAATTTACTGTTCTTCACAAAAGATAATTTCGCTGGAATGGGTCGCCATCTCATATTATTAAAAAGGATGGACGTAGATGGTAGAGTGAAATACGTTAATTTAAAGAGACATGTTTATTGTTCGGTCTCCAGAATATAAGTGAGTAAATAATACAATATAAAATAAAATGTAAACTTAAATGCTAACCAAGCAATACGCACCACATGTTGCAGTTAGACTATAAATATAGTCTATCTATACTACAGTATATATGAGTTGTAGCAGAATGATATGAGGCCCCCGGTTAGGAGCCCCGGTTGGGGGACCCGGTTAGGGCCCAGTTTGGGGGCCAGTTAAGGGGCCTGATGGCCCCCAACCGGGGCCCCCAACTGAGACCCCCAACCGGGCCTCCAACCGGGTCCCCCAACCGGGCCCCCAACCGGGCACCCCAACCGGGCCTCCAACCGGGGCCCCCAACTGGGTCCCCAACCGGGCCCCCAACCGGGGCCCCCAATTTTGATATTAATAAGTTCGTAAGGAACTTCAAACTTTTTGAGGATAATTTACTTTTACCCCTAAGGTATCTGAGACATAGCTAGTTTGCTATCTTTTAATATTAAGGACGCTGTTATAGTAGATATAACACAGTCCCACGACAATGCTCCTACTTTAAGTAGCAACAGTATACTTTTTACTAACCATAATTTAAACTGAAAAACACGACAACAGAAAAGTCTAATCGTTTCCATGTAGTACATCAAAATATTCAAGGCTTTTCTGGCGAAACATTAGAAATAAGTCTTTTTTTGCACGATATTTCCGTTGACGTGTTTTGTGTTACAGAACACTGGCTGAAAGATTACGAAGCCATTAACAATATAGAAAATTATATAATAGTCAGTTCGTTCATAAGAAAGAGCTTAAGTAGAGGCGGATCCATGATTATTATTAAGCGTAACTTAAAATTTAAAGAGCGTAAGGATATGACAAATCTTTCTACTGAACGAACCATTGAGATTTCATGTGTGGAATTGGATCAGTTTGTCGTCTTATGTGTATACAGGCCCCCCTCTGCTAATTTTAACGAGTTTGAATTAATTATGGAAGACAGTTTAAAGCGGATTTTTCCAACCAAAAAAAACGTAGTAATATGTGGAGATTTCAATGTAAACCTGTTGGAAAACTGTTCTACTTCTGTAAGACTCATTAATTTGTTTCAAAGTTTTAACTTGATTAATCTTTTTTTAGAACCAACTCGCATTACTGCCTCCTCTTCTACTTGTATTGATAACATCTTTTGTAACACAGACGCAGTGTCTAAATCAATAATAAATTGCTTAAGATCCGACCATAGTGGCCAATTGGCTTCTTTTAATTGTAAAATGAACAAGAAGGTAGACCAATTTCTCTGCAGACCGATTACCATAGAACGAATAATTAGATTTCAAAATAATATCGGCAATAGTTTAAATTCCCTATCCCATATAACGGAGGATCCAAATACTTTATATAACACGATATTTGGTTTAATTAAAAATGAATTTGACAATACATTTAAATCGAAAACATTAACTTTCCATAGAGAGACTAAATTCAACGACTGGGCAACAGTAGGTATTCATAAGAGTAGGTCTCGTTTGTATGAGCTATATGCTATGAAAACTTATAATACTAATTCCAATTTCATAGAATATGTTAGAATTTATTCGAAAATATTTAAAAAAGTTTGTGTAGCTGCTAAGGTTAAGTTTCACAGCGACAAAATTAGACAATCGATAAATAAATCTAAAACTACTTGGAGCATAATAAATAAAGAGTCAGGCAGGGTTAAACTACACGATAGAGATATAGTTTTAGAATTAGACAGCAAACTTATAAAATCTAAAGATAAAGTAGCCCAAGCTTTTGAATCGTTCTTTTCGGAAATTGCTGTGAACACTACAAAATCCTTACATTCCTCCCCTTCACTTGCTATTGATCTCCTAAAGGAAAATGTTAACGTTTGTGGCAGTTTATTTAATTTTCGTCATGTTAATCCACAAGACATCATAAAAGCTTTTAAGTCAATACATGTTAAAAAAACTGAAGATCTCTGGGGCATATCAACTAAAGTTATAGACTCAGTTATTAATCTCATTTCCCCACAGTTAGCTGTAGCTTTCAATAGGTGCGTTGACGAAGGTGTTTTTCCCGATTTAATGAAATACAGCAAGGTTATTCCCTTATTCAAAAGCGGTAGAAAAGTTGATCCTAGCAACTATAGGCCCATTTCAATTTTACCAGGTTTAAGTAAAATATTCGAAAAGGTTATGCTAACTCAATTACTGTCCTATTTCGGTAGGAATCATATTTTTCATAGTGAACAATACAGGTTTACTAGTGATAGATCGACTAGCGATGCGGGGGTAGCGTTACTAAAACACATCTTTGATGCTTGGGAAAGGTCCCAGAACGCTATTGGTGTTTTCTGTGACCTCTCAAGGCATTTGATTGCGTGGATCATAATACTCTTATTAGGAAGCTGGAACATTACGGTGTAAATGGCAAGGCGTCGAAACTTGTCTCGTCATATCTCAACGGTAGAATTCAGAAAGTAGACATAAATGGAGTGACTTCTTTGGGTTCTCCAGTAAAAACGGGTGTTCCGCAGGGCTCAATACTTGGACCTTTCTTATTTCTAATTTATATTAATGATCTGCAATGATTAAGGACCATTGCGAAATAGTGTTGTTTGCTGATGACACATCCTTGATTTTTAAAACAGACAGACATGACATTAACTATGACCGTATTAATGATACCCTCTCTAAGGTAGTTTATTGGTTTAATGCTAACAATTTATTGCTTAATGCCAAGAAGACAAAATGTGCTAAATTTGAATTACCTAACGTAAAATCGACTAGTCCAAGCATAGAAATAAACGGAGAAAAGTTAGACCTTGTTAATAAAGCAGTCTTCTTGGGAGTGACCTTAGATAGTAAACTTCAGTGGTTTCCACATATATCGTCCCTGGCCAGCAGATTAAGCTCCGCTGCATACGCAGTCCGCAGAATACGTGAGCTTACCGATGTTAGTACTGCTAGACTAGTTTACTTTAGTTACTTCCATAGTATAATGTCCTACGGGATTCTCATGTGGGGTAAAGCGGCAGATATTCAAACCATATTTGTATTGCAAAAACGAGCGATTCGTTCTGTGTACCGTCTAGGCTCTCGGGTATCTCTCAGAGAAAAGTTTAAGGAGACTGGTATCCTGACTGTGGCATCACAGTACATTTACTCAAATATTTTATATGCCCGTAAAAATATACATAATTTCAATAAGAAAGAAGATATCCATAATATTAACCTTAGAGCTAAGTCCAAACTCATGGTACCACGATTTCGTTTAACCAAGGTAAACAACTCTTTTATGGGGAACTGTATACGTTTTTACAATAAGATTCCGGAGCATATATTAAGTTTATAATTTCCTAAGTTAAAAACTACATTAAAAATATTTTGATCGAAAAATCATATTACAAAATTGAAGACTACGTGTTAGATAAAGATGTATGGAAAGACGACATGGCTCCAGAATCCACACAAATTTGATTCAAAGTGTATTTCATAGCATTTAAGTTTATTTGAAAAGAGCAATCCCTAGAGTTTCTTGCTCGTTCTTCTCAGGGAGGTCAGCGTAGTGAACGAGCAGTAGCTTAAATGTGACGTTTTCAAGTATAAATTTATTTTACCTATGGAATAAATAATCTTTGACTTTGACTTTGACAAGCGGGGCTCCCAACCGGGGCCCCCAACTGGGCCCCAACCGGCCCCCTAACCTGCCCCCAGCAGCCCCCCAACAGACCCCCACAACCAACGCCCTAACTCACCCCCATATGCCCTATAAATTTATCATAATTGTCAGTTTTAATTGTGAATTGTTAATCAAAAACATTGAAAAGATTGAAAATTGATTAATTGTTAATTGTAGATATTTGCGATTAACGATTGATCAATTGTTAGTTGCGAGAACCGCAATTAACAATTGATTAATTGTTAATTGCGGTTCTCGCAACTAACAATTGATCAATCGTTAATTGCTGTATCGCAATTGACAATTAATCAATTGTCAATCTTTAATTGCCAGAACAATTAAATTTTGCCCAACACTGTCTGAATGCCAGTTGAGAAGGGTCATCGGTAAGATTCTTGATGCAATCATTTTGATTATACAAGATATTCGTTAGTAAATAAGATGGAGTGTCCTGAGATGTGACTTTTAATATAAACATAGGTGTTTCTTAGATATCTCAGCCTTAATCTCCATTGTATCACTGTTCACTGTTTGGAATGTTTCATCTCGTTGTGTTTCAGTATCAAACTCAATCCTGAGTTTGTTGTTGGAGACGTATTTGACGCTAGCAGGAGAAAAGTTAGTGTCCCGGAACGAAACAGATTTCTTCCATTTCTGAAGTGTTTCAGCTGGGCTGTGAACTTGTTTTGCTGCAGAGATTATCAGAGCTGGTTTGGTGGTGGGGATGGTTTCTTTAGGTTTGGTAGCCTGCGCACGTGCTACGGTGGTATATGTCGGTTTGGGTACATTACTCGAGGGTTTACTTATATTTGAAAGTTGTTGAGTTGGGGTATCTTTGATAATACAGATAATTCTGTCGTCACGTGCCTATAGTTGCTTGGCTACTTTGAGGTTTCTTGTTGTATGTTCGGAATTCCTCCGTCATGGTGATGATCTTCTTAGCGAATTCAATAATACTTGGTGCTGATCCTGTCGGGTCATGGTAGTTTCGGCAGGTATCTGTGCCACATAGTCGGTAGAGAGCCACTGCTGGCATGTCACCACTGCTCTTGCAGTGAGAACACTGCCGATCATACACTCGCTGAGTGCCAAGCGTGGGTGCAACAACGCGCTTCGCTCCCTGCAGTGGTGGGACATGACCTCTCGCTGCCGGCTGTGGTCAAGGCCACGGTAGCCAGAGTGGCGTCATGGGAGGCGACGGCCTCATTCTGCGAGGAAGTGATGGCGCAGAAGGAGGCCGCGGAGCGTAATCGAGAGGACGATCCACTCTCAGCTCCGATCCGCAGGAGGGGAACGAGGCGCAGAAGGCGGGCTTATATACCTGCTGCTATAACTGCTTCCGCCCCCGTAGGGGTCCTCGGGATCAGGATTGGGAAATCGTGCCACTCCGACATAAAGGGACCCTGGCGACGGTAGCGATCTGCCAAGTGTTCCAGGCAGTTCCAAGCAGTCCCCTGCGATTAGGAGAACAGGGTGAACTATTTTCACCCTGGACTCTGAAAGGGTCCGTGCAAACGGACGACACCGGTGGGTTCGCGGAAGAATGCGGAAGCGCCCCCGGGTTCCCGCCACAAGGTACGTGAAGGAACACCCCCGGAGTTTTAGTGGGTAGGCCTCTCTACTTAGAGAGGAGAGTCCCACATAACCCCGCGCCTCACCCGGCCGCGGGGTAACGCGTAACGCATTTCTCTGGGGAAAAAAAGGTTAGTATACGAAAAAGCAAGCGAATTTGCTTGTGTTTCCGAAAATGGTTTCAGTTCAAATTATATTTTAATGAGCATACCAATATTTTAGTAAATCTAAATAAAAAGTTTTTTAGTAAATTGAATCATAAAAAATAAGTATCTAAATTTTATTTTTAATGCTCATTTATCTTAGTTTTGAGGCTCAATATGAAACTATCAAAGTTCATTTATACATATCAAACATTAGCTCAGAACATTAAAATATACGTTGATTTCATACATTTTGTCTCAGAGAAAAAGTATCAATCTTAAAAAGATGACCGTTTAAATTTTTTTCCTGCTGCTTTTGCAAATTTAAAATAATCATTTAAATATATGCCATAATTTTTGTATATCCATACTAGTAGAAGTACACGAATTATATAGAGGTAGAAGTGATTAGCTAGCATCGCACACGTGACCACAATATGGACAGTTGTCCATATTTGAGCTCAATCCACCATTTTCATTTTGTACGGTATGGTTGTGTTATTCTTTCGCACAAATTTTCTAATACCCTTGAAATATATTATATAATATTGCGCTGTTTTGTAGTGCAAAATAATAGCCGCACCAAAATATTACCCATGGTAGTATTTCATATTATCGGTAAGTACTATTTTAATAAATTTTCCACTTTCTATCGAGTTCTTAGGTTTTCGCGATTGTTACACATAGGAAATGAAACTGTTTTTCCGGATTTAAATCGCGTATATTTGTTTTTTCAAACAAACCACTTTCTATGTATCGAACTGATTTTTTGTACTGTAATGACTGTAACAAACATTATTCCAATGCAAAATAGTCGAGTTTAATTTTTTTTTTTCAGAACTAGGTACACATCTCGAATTTCCACGCTAATAGAGGTAGTTCGCTACCTCACAACAATCCTTCATTGCATTCATTGACTATTGTATTTGTTAATTTTAAATCGAAATAAAGGTCATTAAACATTGACTTACAAATAAATGGACGACGGGTCTAATACAAAAACCACGAAAAAAATGTCCCAAGTCAACCTATTCGAAATTTAAATTGTAATGTCATCGCAGTATCGCACTGTCAGTAGAACAAATGAAGACTAAAGCGGAGTGTCGCGCTCTGTATACGATTTTAGCGCCTTACAAGTGCGGACACTTTTTAGCGCGGACCCGACGTCCATATAATTGTAAGTCAATGTCATTAAACGTCAGATTCGCTCTGGACCTTTTGGAGGGAAAAGAGTCGTTTTTATTTTGACTTTCAATTATTTTCTGAAATCTAGTTTAAAGTGGAATAGGATAGTGCTATTGTGCCTTAATCGAAGATTAAATTATACGAATCTCGAACTAAAATACCCGTATCGGCCCGTTCTAAGGAATCCCGAGTCAATCCAAGCACGCCGCCTCAAATTACCTATCCTCTTTGTGGCGGCCATATTTACAAAAACATAATTAAACTTCATGTTTAGGCTTTGCCAAAGCCTTAATAAATTGAAAAAACTCATTAAACGTCATAATGACATTTTTAGATGTGTTGCCGCTACAAAAATCACTGGATTCAGCTTTCAGTGGCCAAACTTCTACACACACATACGTTTATTTCCATTCTGAATATTAAGGCGCTACGCAGTTGGAGCAACTTTGATCATCGAGTTCCGGCAACTGGCAATCCGCAACTAGCTGTTTGAGGGTCGTGTTCCAGAACTCTACTCAATACTCAAGGCAGGACTTGAGTATTGCAGTGAGCACTGAAAATCATACTCAAGTCCTTGCCATTAGGGTAGTATTTCCAGTGCTTGAAATCTTACTCAAGTCTGCTCAAATCCTGACTTGAGCATTGAGTAAGTTCTGGAATACGACCCTATGACGTTTTTCATACAATTTCAGGAAACTGCGCAGACGTAGCAACTTAAGTTGAGAGTTTCGGCAATCGACTACAGTTTTCGATTGCCCAAATCCGTGATTAAACATATTCTTAATTGCCGCAACTAGAAACTTGCAAGTGCCGGTTGTCTCCAGTTGCCAGTTTTCGCAACCGGCAACCGCAACTCGTGAAGCAACTTCACTCCCTCCTCACCCGGTAACTAGGCCTTCTGGTTGCTACAACCGGCAACCGCAAAAGGAAACTTGTAAAAAGTTGCCAGTTGCGTCAACTAAAGTTGCTCCATCTACGGAGCGCCTAAAACTCATCTGAGAGACGTGACGCATTGAGTCCAGAATATGTTCTCGCAGCGAAAATACGTACGGAATTTACGACTGCGTGTTGTGGCCCTACAAAATCTATGGAGGACTTGCATTCGTTACGGCTTCTTCCGTGCGAAATTCCAAATGCACAATCCACCATTCGGAATTTCGAATCGAAAAAAATTTCGAACGGAATAATCTCAGATTACAAAACAATAGGAATAATGATATCTTGATAACGTGAAGTGTGTGATAATGATAACTTAATAAGTTCTTAAGTCCGTGATTTATATGGTTTTGCTGCCTTCCAAATTCCGAAACGGAATTTTGAAATCGGATTCTGACCGTATGTGGCCAGTTTAAATGATTTCACCCGTTTAGGTTTTGTTGTAGGAAAAAACCTAAATGGTTCCATCCTCAGATTACAATTTGTAATTTGAGATTCCCACGGATTTATATATTTTCCGTGGAGACTCCATCGTCAACGTTCAGTAATTTAAATTTTTTACAGATGTTGTCAACGTCAAATGTGGAAAATTCTTATAGTGAGAAAATTAAATGAAAATTATTGAAAAATATCCGGGAAAATATTTTTCCATGGCCGAACACTACTATTGGGCAATTTTCTAAAGAAATCCCTAAAATTTGAAAAATATAATTTCGAATTATTTTTCAGAAAAACATGTCCATACATTTTTCCATGACCTACCACTACGGTCTGACTCACTGACTGAATTTTGAAACATTCGATGCATGCGTATATATCGTATTGACAATAGTTAAAAGTTCCCAGAGCCGTAAAAAAAAACGAATAAAAATATAATTGTCAAACAGCTGCGATTAGAATACGTCGCTTGTTTCGATTTCACTTCTCTTCGTACCTTATCGGCGTTATTATTAATAGAAAACCCTGGAGTTGCGTAACCTTGTGTTTACAAAACAGGAGATGTAAGTTATGCGTGTCCTACTCCGACCACTCGTCGCTCTTAGGACGGTACTGCATTCGAAGAAGACTGTTCAGTTGAGGCATCCCTTTACAACAGGTATGACGTTTTGACGCTTGTCTCATATCATTAATTTTTTTACGAACTTAACGTAAATAAGGAAGGACCTCGCTATAAGTTTATCTTGGGACGTTGCCAGGTTTACGTAGCTTTGTATGTGATATTAAATTAGTTTTTTTCTTTGGCCGTTGTAGCATTGATTTGGAGAGCAATGGAAGATAAGGAATCTTTGAAAAACCGCTTGACGCCTTTGCAGTACCATGTCACCCAGGAAGCTGGTACTGAGAGACCATTCACAGGTGATTATTCAAAATACTCAGCTCATTTTGTACCTATATCTACCTGGTCACACACTTACTTATTTTATTATTTACAATTTATGTAAAAGTAATTAACGTTACTGAAAGTAATCACACTAGTAATCAATAAAGATATGATATTGAGCTCCTATTATTTGTATAGATTTAATTATTTATTAATTATATAGATTCAGTGTTTTTTTTAATTGGGATAGTATGGGGAAATCAGAAACCATAGAAGATACAACGAAATTGATTTTGGAACTATTAAGTCTTTTATGTGAAAACAATTTTGGCAGATTTTGTGCAGAAAGATTTTGTGATCAAGTGTGAGTTGTCCATAAAAATGAATAAAATTGATCAAAATTTTTTAGTGTTGGTCGACTCAGTTTCACAAAAGAATCATTTCATTGTATGTGACAAAAAAATTGGGACAGTGAAAGTTGGTCAAATTTCATAAAATATTTTTTCACATAAAATGAAGAAATATTGACAATTCTTTTTTATGCTAATAAAAAATGTTTATTCAAAATACAGTCGACATAAACTAGAAACTGAGGTTGGGACCAACCTATCAATTAAGTCTTTAAATACTTGTGTCAGGTGGTCCCGCTTTTCTTTAATGCAGACATACCTATAATAGAGCTGAATTTAAACAGAGACAAAAAATAAAATTTTATTGTAACAAAAATAATTAGCATAGACTCAGTTTCTTATAAGGACGACTTATGCGATTAGAAACATATTTGTGTATTTTGTCCTTTATACAATAAATAAATTAAAAAAAAAAATGTGTTGGAAGAAAAAAATTGAGACAGCAGAAAAAAATTTTTACTAAATGAATAACATTTTCTTAAATTTGACCTACTGCTGTCCTGATTTTTTCTTCCAATAAAATAAAAACATTCTTATAATAATAATCTGAGCCTATCATATAAAAAAATTTTGTTAATTTTATTTATTTTGTATGAAAAATAATTTCATTAAATTTGACAATCTTCTGCTGTCCCGATTTTTTCGTCCCATACAAAGAAATGAAGTCGTGAAGGGTCACGAAACCGAGTCAATCATCACTAAAAATATAATTTTGGTCAATTTTATTCATATTTCTGGACAACTCACGCTTGCCCAAAAAATTGACTGCCAAAATTGTTTTCACAAGGCTTAATGGTTCCTAAGACAGTTTCCTTGTATCTTTTATGGTTTTGAATTTTCCCATATTCTCCCATTAAAAAAACAATGTATATTGATTCTTTTTTTCTTTTAATCTTTCCAAGATACATAATACCTCGCACATGAACCCAAATGGTGTTGTAACTCAAAATTGTGGAATTGAGAAGACACAATTTTGAAGTTTAAAAAATGACTAAATTCTCGTTCACAAATGAATAACTAAAAATATGTGTTTCTATATATAATTATGTATAAATAGAAATAATCATGTACTCAACGAAATTTTCAAATTGTGTTTTCTGATTTTTACAATTTTGAGTTATGACCAGGGATCGTAATAGGTAGAGTTTTTTTTACCTAAACTTCGAGGAACATAGACAGAAAATGGAGACTACCTTACTTACAATATTTTTTAGGTCCTGAATCTTTTCGGGATTCGGGAAATCACTTAAGAACATTAAAAACTGACGTAATTGGGGACACTATATTTATTTTAACTTTGCGACGCACAGTGGATCGGATCTGCGATATTGCGGACATTGCATTTTTCACCTTTAGTGCCCCATTGTTACAAAGTCTTAGGGTCGTATTCTAGAACTCTACTCAATGCTCAAGTCAGGATTGCACTGGAAACATAAGCACTGGAAATACGACCCTAATGGCAGGGACTTGAGTATGATTTCGAGTGCTTTAAATCATACTCCAATCCTGACTTGAGCATTGAGTAGAGTTCTAGAATACGACCCTTAGTCGATCCAGTCTTGGAATCACTACAGACGTCTTATTAGACCTATCTTCTATAGATTTGCGCACTAAACGCGCGCCTAAACCTGCCTATTCACTACTTATACGCGTCAAAAAATGTCTGTAGTGATTCCAAGACTGGATTGACTGAGAGTTTGTAACGATGGGGCAATAAAGGTAAGGTCCCATACAAAAAATACACATTTTATTTGTTTCCTACAAAACTATTCGATTTATGGCACTATGTGATATGACAATATTTCATTAGGAATAGGATCTCTCGATTGGCATTTTGATTAAGGAGGTATTGTGAAAAAAATCCAATGTCCGCAATATCGCTGATCCTGATATAGTGTACCTGGCTGTTTCATGTGCGATATACAGGGTTACAGGAAAAGTCGTGCTAGATCCGTTAAGGGCGTGGAGTACTCATCATTTCTGACTTATTTTACTATGAAACACCCTACCCTAAACTTAACCCTTTTAGAGATATTTGACTTTTATTTTTTTTATTCAAAATTGCCGATTTTTAGGCTACTAAATTTAATTTTGTTTATTTTGTGTGTCTTATTATTATAATTATTGCATTTTTACATGTGTGATAAGATGCTTTAGGACCTCAATCATTAAAATAGTGAATAAGTTAATTCAATACGCCCCAAAGTAGAAAAGAGAAAGTTAAGAAATTAAAAAAAAAATTACAAAGTTTATTTTTCTCTAAGGGATATCTAAAAAAATATTATGGCAGTTGATCGGCAGATAAATTAATTTTCTCCTCCACTATCGCCTATGAAACTAAGTTTTTTTAATGCATTTAAAGGTGTGTCCAAACACGGCGTGCAAGGTGCGCGGCAGCTACGCGCGGCATTCGCGGGACACAAGTTTGCCGGCAGGTAGCTCGCGGCTGCCGCGCGCGGCAGTCGTCCAATCATAGCGCGGCAAGACGCGCGCGGCAGCCGCGCTCGAATGCCGCTTTATGTTTGGACACACCTTTAATAAAACCCTAGATTGTTATACCTTGTTAGATAGCTGATGAAACGTAGATATTTTATAACTTATCTGCCGATCAACTGCCATAATATTTTTTTTAGATATCCCTTAGAGAAAAATAAACTTTGTAATTTTTTTTTTAATTTCTTAACTTTCTCTTTTCTACTACGGCGTATTGAATTAACTTATTCACTATTTTAATGATTGAGGTCCTAAAGCATCTTATCACACATGTAAAAATGCAATAATTATAATAATAAGACACACAAAATAAACAAAATTAAATTTAGTAGCCTAAAAATCGGCAATTTTGAATAAAAAAAATAAAAGTCAAATATCTCGAAAAGGGTTAAGTTTAGGGTAGGGTGTTTCATAGTAAAATAAGTCAGAAATGATGAGTACTCCACGCCCTTAACGGATCTAGCACGACTTTTCCTGTAACCCTGTATAATACAAATATATATCAAAGAACTGACTGTCAGGCTTGCAAAAAGATGAAGCAATTTTGTTTTTTCAGGTTGTTACAACAAATTTTATGATGAAGGCCTGTATGTATGTGTAGTATGTAGACAAGAACTATTCACCTCAAAAACAAAATATGATTCTGGGTGTGGTTGGCCCGCATTCAATGATGTCCTATCCAAGGAAAAAGTCACTTTACATCAGGACACTAGTGCCGGTATGTTTTCTTTTTAATAATTTATTTTCACTGCAATGATCAATGTGTTTATTGGCAATGATGCCATTTGATTTCGTTAAAAAGTGCAGGCAGCGTAAATAGTGTGATTTTATAATAACTTAATAATTTTATTATCAAAAATAATACAGTATCAAAATTTGAGATATGCATATCTATCTCCTTTCTTAATTAGTAGAAATCTCTTCTAAATCTGAAAGAATTATATAAATAATATTTACAACTTTTATTTGAATGATAATGATTCAATGCAATTAAACTAAAATAACTAATTAAAAAACATCCAGCATTATCTTATTAATAAATAAGCTATGAGAAAGCTTGAATTTTCATCATTCATGTGTATGTATGTTACTAATGTATGTTAAAAGCATGATATACATATAGATGGTGAAATCTATACTTAGTTATATGTACAGGTCCTTTCTGAATTTGTATAATTTTGTTACTGGTCAACAAAACTGATTTTAACTATGATATTGAATTAAATTTACGAGATAATATGATGTTAATTGTAATATTTAACTGAAATGAGTTGTTGCTAATTTAACAATTGCCCTTATTCAACTAACATAATATAATAAAATAGCTAGGTGCATTGTTTTTTACTAAAAACAGCAGTATAATTACTATCCTGTACCTGTACCTGTTATGACTCAATTTTAACTCCAAAAATAGTTCATTTAAAGCCAATTGCCTTACTGGTTAATTCGTCATCTTGGAGTGAATACTTTCACATGTCATTTATATGTCCTTTTTCAGGATAAAGATAAAACTCTGATGTGAAATGTAGTAACAGTAATGTTTGTAATTAGTATTTTAATTAGTTAAATTATTTCTCTTTCGGGTGCTATATTATTTTAATTACAATTTAGCAAGACTTAAGTTTTATTGCAACAAAAATTAGTAAAAACAAACAAAAATGCGTATGTGAGGTTTTCATTCGACGTATTTAAGCAGTATTATGATCTTATCATTATAAAGGAACTTTTTTGGAGTTAAAATATGAGTCATCATAACATACCACTACTGCCTAGTGTACCAAACCATGCAGAACAAATTTTCAATGCCGCTGAATAATAGGCTATTCATAGCCGGCATTAGTCTATACAAGGTCTGAATTATCTATCACCTGATTTCTTACATTGTTAACATCCTTTGGCCTCATTCTGAACACAATGGTTCACTTGTGACATATAAAGTAGACACTATTATATACCTCTACGTAATACGTCTTACAATGATAGATGTAAAATATAATGTATTGAAATTAGGCGTAATTTACCACCACATCTCTCTTACTTTGTACCTAGCAGTAGGACATGTAAGGAGTGTGTGCACCATTGCAAATGTTAGGACCACCTTACCTTGAACTGTTATTTTTGTGTGTTCATCGAAGTATGATAACCTTGAAATAAGGATATAATGGTCCCTCTTCCTATTTCGCGGAGCCGTCAAATAACGCTCCATTACTTTTTAGATTGCCTTACAATTACGCCTCATATTTATGAGATCAATACGTTCAGATTGATGACCTTTATCTACACATAATTCATAATACATTATTTGACCAAACCAAATGAGGTCCGATTATTGGTGTGTCGACATAAGTACATTCATACTTCAATTACCTGTTTTGTATGTATTTATGACCACATTACTTCAATGTCTATATCTCGTACTATATACAATCCTTCCATCTACCCTTGACATCTATATGGTCGCACCATACATAATCAGATGTATATACATTTATATCGTTGAAACCTTCTACTTAAACATATAAATGTTTATACCTTGTTGCTTTGTAACTCGACATCATGTTATTAAACTTAGCTATCTGTTTCACAGCTATTGTATATAATTGTAACAGTAATCAGTTGTTTTAGATAACTTTCTGCGGTCATATATTATCGTCAGCCTGATATAAAAAGCAAGAAATTGTTTTGAGAACCGGATTGTATCTTAATTCTTACGTCTTCTCAAAGTTGTGATACAGATATTTGGCTACGTTTGCGACTGTCTGCATGAGCTTGCTAATTATTTATTAAAACACATGAAAAACGTAGTTCAATATAAACGTATTAAGTAGGACCTTTGGCATACAGTTATTTTTGTGTTTTATATTTTTATGTATTTATTACAAGTACTTATAGGTATTATTATGATTTGTACATTTCTAATCTCTTGAAAATATTCGGAGCTTGGTGAGGGAAGTGGATTTTGGTGCTAATGTTTTTTTTTATCTTTTTCTGTCTGTCTTTCCCGCACCTTTGACCACCCTCCGATACAATCCTGACTCTCCACGATAAACGTAAGTCGGTCGTTGATTGGTGCAACATATTTCTGTATATATTTTCTGCTTCATCTTCGTATGTATGTAAACGACTACCGTTTCTTTTATATTGTATCAATCTGTGTGCCGAATCGCTATTCATGACAAAAACGCACCGCTCGCAATATTTTATGTATGCTATTCACTATTCTGGTTGGTCCATCACAAACAATAATTTAACAAATCGATGTTTATTTGGTTTATCGCAATGGCAACCATAACATTCGCAACTTTTTAACACGCCTTCATTGTGACGTCACCTTAACTGTTGGAATGCGCATGTCAATAATATGCATTTGTCCTTGCTCCCATCTTGTCCTGTCCTGATCCCTCTGGATGGCTGCGGGCTGGACGACGACGCCGCTCCGCTGCGACGACGCATCACCAACGTCTGCGCGTGCTGTCTATCATATTGGATAACGTGATCACGACATCATACATTGTTTATATGTAAATAAACGGCTTTTTTGGTGAATGGACTCTGTGTGTTGGAATAAAGTTGGAGCAAATATATTACTGGTTTTAACACGGCCAGGTTTGGTGCGAACTGAGGTGCGATGTTCCAAGTGCTCGGCTCACCTAGGACACGTGTTCGATGACGGTCCAGCGCCTACCAAGAAACGTTTTTGCATTAATTCCGCCTCTCTGGACTTCATACCCGCTGAAGAAAGGAAAGATTAACAGGCCCCAAAAAACTTATATAATTAGTGTAGAAAGCTATCTAACAAATTGTATTTCAATCAAAAATGTACAACTATAAGAGTGTGAGTACAGAACATAATGAGAGAACCTGAGCTAGAAGTGTGAAATAAATTTATGGACATGATTATCAGTCAAATATAATTGCAAAAACCCTATTTCATCATTTTTCTCTTTTGTAATGTGACGACATTTTAGATACCACTCTTCATTGCTTAATCAAAGTACGTGACCGCCATACATTAGGATCTACGTATCTACACATTCGTGATACTACAGTGAAGTAATATTAAATTTAGTTTTAAATGATACTCTATGAATAATTTTATTTTCTGTACTTTTATAGCGTAACGTAACTGCGGCCTTAATAGTAGCTGAAAATAATGTAGTCAGCTTGCATTTTATGTAGCTAATAATTTATAACGGCAACTTGTTTCTTGCTGAGTTACCAATTAGAGTCAATGTTGTTATTTTTTATAATTTATTTTACGGTTGTATCTAACAATTCATTTCACTATATTCGAAGCCGTCAGTACAAATGTGATAATTTTCTGAATATAGCATAATTTTTGTTATTCGATTATTGATGTACTGAATTGCTGAAATAAATTATTTTTGTGTAATCAAATTTTTCATTACATTATTGCTTCTAATGACACCAAGTGTAGGTCGTAGGTACTATAAAGATTAACTGCCTCCGTGGCCGTGGTTATCATGCCTGCCACGCAGAGGTCCCAGATTCGATTTCCGGGCCTGGAGAAATATTGTGAGTTTGGGTGTAATTTCTGGTTGTCTTTGCGTGTGTCCATGGCACCCGCGACACAGGGTTTCCCTAGTGCGGGGCTATGTTGAGTGTAAAAAAAATGATTTAGTTAAACTTGAAAATTAACCCGCAATTTGTTAACAATGGAATTTGAAGCAGTACAAGGACTTAAATAAAATAGTTACATTTTAAAGATATAATACAGATAACGGTTACAGATACAATAAAATTTGTGCAATAAAACCACAAAGAATTGATGGTGAGTCTTTTATTATAGTATGGTTGTATTTTATATGCACGTTGCTTATACATGGCACTGGTGTTCAAACTGTCAAAAATCATGAAAAACATTCTAACCGCTTTTAAATGTCTTGTTCAATAACCTATTACATTTATTAATACATTTCAACTTATACTACGTACATAATTACAGTTACTTTCTCAACATAACTCTAATGCGTACTCAAATTCATGTTCATGATCACATAGTTAATACACTTTTTATTATATATTTTAGTTTGTAGATACTGAATAACTTTGTTCAAGCTCTCTTGAAGTTTTGGCTACTTTTATTTAGAATTCTACATTATTGCACTTTTATTTTAGTAATGGTTGGTGCAAGCTTTGAATAATGACTTATGATTTAGGCCATATGATATTAATTCAATGGAAACAAAAACATTAGGCCGTTAAATGTGTTAGTTTTTTTTCACGAATACTTACCTATACTACGTATACTGATAACAAAATTATTTCCTCCCTTATCTTTTTATCTTGACGGTATAAGATATTCAAAGTGATTACGAACCATCAAAAAATATCTATCAGGAACCACAAAAGATACTTTATCGAGCCTGTCACTGCCATTTTGAAAAGTATTTAAATGCTACTGTTTTAGATGCTATGTTAGCAAGGTTTTAAAGTTATTGTTAGACCCAATTGATGATCGAGTAAGAAGTATACAAGGAATTTCAATAGGACCAAAGGATTTTATTCTCATATTTTTATTCTAAAACAACACATCCATTTTTTTGTGTATCTTTTATTCGATTGTAGTTAACATGAAAGTTTAGTGTAGAAAGTCTATACAAAACTTCTGTGTTACTTAAGGTTATTTATGAATATAGCGATATGGTAATAAAACGCCATTATGCAGTAAAACAAAGGCTAATGTTTCAAGCTCATTGTTTTGCGTCCTGGGAAGTTCATTCTATGAAGGCTTAATGGTATGGAAAGTATTAGGTATTGGATGGTCTCAAAAACCAGGGAAGAAAAAATTTAAACATGTATAAATATGGTTGACAGTTTCTATGTTACGTCAGCAAATAAATGTCTTAACATTCGCTCAAAATTTTAGTCACACTTATCTGAAAGTCAATAAATAGACTACGTCGCATTAAATTAAATAGGTACATTGAAATTACAATTTGTATTGCACCAACCTAGAACAACTGATCTGAGTAATATAGCGTTAATTGGTCACTTCATATTGTCAAAGAGTAAACTATTTGATCTAACTTGTGTCTGTACAATTTACAGCAGTCGAGCCTCTATAATATCTGGTCATCATCAGCACACCATCGCACATCCCTCCTCAAATTCACTCGACCATCCACACGATAAAATAGAGAATACACAATCAAAAATACAAATAAAACGAAATTTAACAGCGTCTGCCGGCACAACCTACACAATACAAGCAGAGAAAATGAACTTGCTTAAACATAAAATGTAAAATACTTGTGTATTTACAACATCAAAAATAATAAATGACATTTAGTACTGTCGCAACCTTTATGAAAGATGTTAATATACTGTTTTAATATGGACTAAACATTAATTTAACCTATTGTTTCATTTACGGTTAATTAATCCTTCACACCAAATCTTACTCTTATTGTTTGTGCCACAAGAATATAATCAATAATAATAATTTTTATTTCAAAATATAATTAATCCGATAGACTTTTCAAACTTAATACTAAGTAAATGCTCACGTCACATGACTAACAATAAAATAATTGTTATCGTCAAAAGAAAATGTTCAAATATTTTTTAGTTTTTCGCAGTTACCTCTGACAACCGAAATAACAAAATAGTAAGTGGTTCAAAATCATAAAAAAAAGAAAATACAAATTCGTAATAAAATGACTAAATTCAGAAATAATCCATTCATAATAATAATAATTAATAATCTCAAAATCAAATACATCATCAAAATCAAGAAATAATTGAAATTTTAATAAATTAACAGTTAATATAGATAATACTATCACTATCTATGTAGTAATTATTGAAAGCAAGTAAACTGGGACATTCGCTATTCTACATATTGATCTATAGAACGGTCCCGCAGTTTACACGAAGGAGCGAGAGTGTTTAAACGTAGAACCAATTACGCTTTGGTACCTGCAGGCCTAACATGTGCTGAAAGACAAATACCTGTTCCCCAAACTATAAATTAACACTCAAAAATAACAACATGCAGGCGCCTGAGTGACCTTTGCGCACACTAACGCTACAAGTAATGGTACAACATACCGCCATAGTCAGCGGACGGGATAAAGTTACTTTAAATACGAATGTTTCGTCCAAATGTTAAGCCTGCAAATTGCACAAACTTTACTAATTTTCGGTGACCAACATGCAGTATAGAGAATCTTCCACCTAAGCAGTACAAGTCAACACAACTGTCATAAATAATACGCATTATAAATTATAATACACTCAATATCCTTCGGTTATTTTATTATTAATTTAGAATAATAATTTTAGGAAACACATTTCAATTTAATGAAAAATTTAATTCTAAACATTCTTCAGTCATAAAGAATCGTAAGCAATCTTATTGGTCGACCGGTAATTGGAATAACTTGGATAAATTCGCTATAATATCCGACTTGGATTGAATTGTCCAATTTGAGAAAAAAAAAACAAAAATAATGAATAAATCCCTGATTAGCTAGACAATGATAATGGAAAGTAAAATTAGCTGTCTACAACCGCTCCTGCTGTCGATCACTACCTTACTTTCATAGAGTAATACAAATATACTAAATTAGACAAAAGTATGTAGAATTAAGAAAATAACGCATCGGTCGACCTTATAGCTGTCCCAATCATCACCCTTCTGTATTGATGTGTTTCCACCTACCTGCCGCCGTCCGGTCGGCTACCGACTACCATCACAGTCAGTGTATAAGCTTGAACTGATACTAACGTAACAGAACTACGATATTCTACTATTTATACTTTACAAGGTCTCCTAAACATTAACTGCCAGTCTTCGTTTGCAGCTACATTATTTCGTTACTTCAATATTCGTACCTAAAGTCTACTACTATCTACATTCTAACCTCTTCCTTATGGTACTACTGTAGAACGAAACACGTCAATAAGTGATAACGTCACTAATTAGAATACATATCTCTATTACAACACTACAGTATTTATAATTACTGGACTGCGCTTATTATCTTCTGTAAAAATATCATCACTTACATTTTTCTCTAAAGTTCATCAGCAGCCATTTTATATAAATAAAATATTGTTCATGAATTTTCATAAAGTAACAAGAAACTTTTATCGTTTCGTATGTTCCGAGTTACACATTACCAAGGTTCGAAGTGATAATTACCACGATAATTATCTAGATATTCATACATTAATTATAAAATGGATAATAGTCATAAATACGACATTTTTCGAAGACTTCTATAAGTTACTCATTTAAACTAAATGTTTAATGTGAATTTTTTTGTAAATTTAAAACAATAACTTCAAATGTCTTTTTAAACCATAGATTTAGTATATACCAAAATATACTTATACTCTGTCTTTTTTGAAGATGGAGTAAAACGATAGTTCATTGCGCAAGTGTTGCCCGTTTGCAAGCTAGTTAGTGATTGCAATCGATAAATATTCTATCGCCTATCGATTGAGCGTTGGTTACGCTTATGAAATAAATAGCCGAATTTATTTCATTCTATTCATCGTCGGCCCATTATACGTGCAACTGCTGGGCACAGGTTCATTTGAAATATTAATTTTTGAAAATTCATTCATACATACACTAAATTTAGAAGTATGTCTATTAAAAATACAAATAGCACAGGAAAGTTTTTCATTTTAATATAAGTAATCAAATCCGCATGTCGTTATTAAAATGTGGACGACTAAAAATTTATTTTGATATTAATAGAATTGTCAAAATAAGTATAAAAAATACAATAATGAAATTAGTAACCATTGGAGCGTTTGTAACATTCAAAATTCAGATATTTGTGGCAAAATTTCACCTACTTTCACAATCTATCGACAAAGTTGTCGACAACAACTACGGGACTATTTAAAATTTTACGAAAACTGTCAACCTTGCAAATGTCATTTTAGTTCATCTTCAAAAAAGACAGTTTAAATCTATGTTTTAAACAAAATATTCACTTTTAGTCAAAAATCAAATGAGAGAAAATTAAGAATCAGCCAGAATAATTATCAGATAATTATATAATTTCGAACTCTCATACTACATAAACATGTGCATGTTTATTATTACAACATTGGATATTTTAAGTTTCGAGTGGTATCGATTTTAACACAATTCGACGACAGTAGTGTATAAGTAATATGGAGTGTAGTAATGTACGTACTGAGTACGCTATGGTAGGCACTGAGCGCGCTAAGAATGCGCGGGCGCTGCGGGCGCCGGAGGCCTGCGCTAATGACCTTTAGCCGCTTCCTTCGCCGCCATGATCAAGGGGGTCAGCGATGCCAACGGCCGTGCCATCTTCAAGAAAGGATGCTGTAAAAAAAATGTTAGTATTATTGGCAAATTAAAGGAAAGCAAGATATTTGCGATTTGCGCAGGTTTTTGAATGAAATAATTGTTTTGTTAGAGATATGTATCTTGGGATAATCATAGTTATTTCACCAATATGAAGCAAAGAAAGTTTACAGTAGTCGTTAATGAGGTTGTTCTTATACAAAGTTAGGTGTATAAGAACACACTGACATTTTAAAAAGTGAAACCATTAAATATTTAACAAAAGGGTGCATAAACAGCTGTTACCTTTAACAGTTCGAGCGCATTAGCGCGTCGCTCAACGTCAACTTCAAGGCACTGATCGAGGAAGTCCTGAAAGACGGTGCTTAACTTCTCCTTGTCCTTGATATCTGGCTTGCCGTTGGTAGCGATCAGGTAAAGCGCACGCAGAGGATTCTCATTCAAATACGGCGGTTCGCCTTCGATCATTTCTATTGCCATTATTCCCAGTGACCATACATCTACCTGTAGCATAAAGAAATTGGATAGAGAAACAGTTGCTAGAAAAGCATACACACAGGTTGTATGCGGTTGTACTTGTACAAAGTACACTACCGGGCGCTCTATATCTAGAAGCGAATCAAATCATGCACGCCGAGCTCGTAGAACAATGTCAATACGAACACACAAAACATTATTTCCTTAGTAGCAGTAGTTACCTAATTTAGATGCATTAAAACTAATCGAAGAGAGCGCCAATTTTAGGTAGTGTTAGCCTCTTCTTTCTCTTTTACAAACCTTAGGACCGTATTGCTTTCTTGTAACTACTTCAGGCGCCATCCAATAAGGCGTTCCCACCATCGTAGTTCGTTTGTTTTGTTCTGGGGATATTTGTGCGCAGAACCCAAAGTCAGCTGGAAATATAGAAAACAATGTTAGCACCTGAAATTTCTCTTTTTCTTGGAAGGCTTTACGTTTTGTCAATTTGAAGTTCGTGAAAGAAACGATGATAAATATTTAATATCGATTGTACACACGCTCCAACACATAAGCAATACGACAAAATTGACAATGTATTTGTTGTTGGGCAGCGCTTAGCAAGATTTAGTGTGAATGTATGTAATTTAGAAATTGAATGTTCTCTACGACGATGGTTGATACTCACTAAGCTTAACCTGTCCATCCAACCCAAGCAGTATATTATCGGACTTGATGTCGCGATGTATGACATGATTTGTATGCAGAAAGTGCAGTGCCTGTAGCACTTCGCGACAGACCGCTGCGATCTGTCCTTCGTCCATACATGTCTCGGTTACTACGTCCGTTAGAGAACCTCCGGCCAGATATTCCATTACTACCCACAATTCCTGTGTACAGAATTATATTATATATATAATATTGAACTATAAAATAATTAGTAATAATATTAAGAAGTAGGTCAGGTTTCCATCATATCAGTTTTTTATTAGTGTTAAGAAAGAATTGCGCTATTAGAAAATGAGCGCTCAATCGATTTAACATTCAAAGGATCAACTCGTTCACAATAATAACCTTCTCTCCGCCTTAGTTACATAATTTATCTATTCCTTGTACCAACCTCGTTGACAAGATAGCTGTCGAGATAATTAACGACGTTATTGTGCTTATTCTCCCGCATGACGAGGATTTCATTGATGATCAGCTCTTTCTTCGGCTGCTGACCGAGGTTCATCTGCTTTATCGCCACTTCCATGCCTGTTGACGTCTCGATTGCCGTGTATACCGTTCCTGATGCACTGTTGACGAAATTAAAGTATGTTATTAGATTAAATTTTTATTGAATTGATATTCAATTATTTTTTGTGAAATTACTCCACTAGTTTGTTATAATTATTAATACAAAGATCGAACACTCAAAAAAAACACTCAGAAAAAATTCCTTCGGATTCCGACCGGATCGAAGTAATTTTTCTGAGTGTTCGATCTTTGTATTAATAATTATGTTATTAGAATTCTAGTGATCTACTCGTAAAATATATATCTATGTTGTTCAAATAGACGCGAAATTTGCGCGATATGAATACCTCAAAAACCCGCTCAACGGAACTCCGAGTGAGAGTTCGTCCAAGGTAGTACTGCTACCTTACCTATTTCTGCTGCCAAACAGTAATGTCAGCATTACTGTGTTCCGGTTTTGAAGGGTAAAGGTGCTGGTGAAATTAGGCACATGGGACTTGTCATGTCTCAGGGTGACGAGTGCAGTGGTAGTGCCCCTCAGATGTTTGCAATTTAAAGCTTTGAGTGGCATTATAACTGTTATGGACAGTCGTGTAGCTTACCATCAGGCGCACGACTTGTTGGTCCCGTCACTTGATGTTATAAAAAAAAAACTCACCCTTGTCCAATTTTTTCCATTTTTGTATATTTCCTATTGGGGTCACCGACACTAACGATTGTTCTTAATTTTTCTAGAATTTCTTCATCTGTCATCTTCTTCTTTCTTTGCTGTTGCCCAGTTGCTCTTCTAAAAAAAATCAGCAACTTTTACAACGGCGGAAGATGGGTTTGAAAATTTGTATTGTAAGCGCAAAATAAAAAAAAATAGAAAGTTTTTGATCTTTTAGATATATATAATATAAGGGTAATAGTAAATGTTCCGAAAAACGCATCATTAATAGTTTAGGTACAAAAATTCACTATTTTAACTCTCAATTTTAAAGGAAATAGCCACCATCGTTTCGTGCGAGCTTGAAACGCGACTTTGGCTACAAGGGTATTTTGGTATTTCTTAGGAGTTCTTATGTTGTCACTCCGAATAGTATTCCAATTTGATGGAATAGTTTAACATATAACAAAGTGTATGACAATTTATGCATTTCATAAAGGTCGCTTTTATATTTATAATATAATTTATGATAATAATGGCTAACAATAGTTTTCGGTAAAACATAAATTACGTTGGCAGAGTGGTTAGCAATATTTTACGGAATTTTTAGGATTCCATTGGGTTGTTTCCGTATTTCTTTTAGCACAAAATATTTTCTAGGTAGCTCAGTCAACCAAGTCCAACCATTCATTTAACTTGTGACATATACTCCGAAGTTCCGTAATTATGGACATACAACCATAGACAAAAAAATGCAATACTTCCTGGACTGGAATTTTGAAGCGATATGCCTTTTAGTTCCGATATTTATCGAGCCAAAAGATTTATTCAAGTTGATAAATTTTGGTACCGGTCTATTATAATAAAATTAAATAAATTACAATAAATTCTTATCGTTTATTATAATGAATCATAGGATTCTTCTCCATATGAACGGGAATAATCACTTGAATCCTCATTAGCATTAATTAGTTATTAATTCTTGAGTACACAAATTGTCAAATGCAACATCACCATTACAATCAAACAATACCTTCTTTTTTGAACCAGCTCACATTCTAAATAAAAATATTAATAATTAATTTATTTGCCATAATAATAATACAACATGCATAGTGTACGGTAAGTAATTATAAAAAAATCAGTAGATATGACTGCTGGTACTTAAAAAAGGAAAACCTGTGCTATGAGTACCAGCAAACCTTCCAATGGCGTAGTAAAATTTACAATTTATTACATTATTTTATTTATACATTATGCAAAAATAGTAATAACAGCTAGTAGTAATTTGTGCAGACAGCAAATGAGTAAAATTAAATTAATCTAAATTATATAATCCTTATAAATAATTAATTCTCTCACTGAAAGTGTATGTGTGTGTTAAAACTTCTTTACAAATAAAATCGATTGTTATAAAAAATCTAATTGGAAATCACTAATTGATTAGAATTTGCTTGAAAAACTGTCAAAAGATAAATAAATGGTTGGACGGAGTATAATACTTATTTTTAATTTACTTTTCGGAGCTTTGTATAGTATAATAATCGCTTTGTAAATGTCTAAATTGCTTTCATGCTTTTTCCGCTACATACACGAAGAGCGAGCAATTGATGTCACAAAAAAAAAATAAGGCAAACCAAATTTAGATAATATCGTACCCGGTATCCGTATTAGTCTGGGCGCCATTTGCAGGCGGCGGGTGTGGCGCGATTGGCGCGTGCGGTGGCGGCGTCTGAGGCGCGGCCGCGGGGTTCTTGTTGCGGTCTAGAGGCGTCGGCACAAGACCCACTTCTGCCCTACTGCATATCTATGAAAAACAAGCAAAATGCATACATGAGAATGCTATTTTGTGCAATAAAGGGTATATATACTGCTTTGAATAATGTTTTACTTTATGCACAGAGTTTTAAATCATAAAGACATATTTTATGTACAAATTGCATTTAACAACACAATTGATTAAAAACTCAATTATTGAAAAAGAAAGAGCAACCTGTCGTGAATAGACTACATTGCTTACAGAATGTGTAGTGAGGGCTGGATGCGGCACATGAGGTGGTGACGCTGGAGCGGGTGGTGGTCGCGGCGGAGGTTCTTCTTCTTCTATTGGCTTAGTGTACTGAAATACAAAGCAAACATTACGAAACTCGACATATTATATGTTAAGTAAAGTACGGAGACATGAACTGTTTGTTAGTACTAGCTAATGTTGTTTCATTAGTTTGACATCTTACTCTGCAGTAAAGGAAATAATTTCTAAGGTGTATTTTTCTTAATTTTTTAACTGTATGTCAAATAAAGAAGGATGGCGACTACCCGTGATTTTGTGACCCATTGTTTTTGACGACGTGCATTAAGGAGACCTATCAATACTTCTGATTCATTATCAAAAAAGATAATTGAGTACAACCTGTAGAAGCTGGGGTTATAAAGTTCATATAGGTTATGTTTATAACATTGTCCTGTATTTCGCTTCAGAGTACTTCCATAGTAGCAGAAAACAACAAGTTTTCAGTTTATTCCCAAAAATAGTAAAGAACTTCTCGAATATTCCCCAACCTGCCAAACTCTGCTACATTTAATATAACTTATCATGTTCTGCAGCAATGAAAATGAATAAAAATAAAATCTGCCCAAATGCCAGAAATCTGCCACAAATGGTCACACTGTTCTCAATAACAATGTGACATGATTTGCTCTGGACCTTGAATCCCGAGTCAATCCAAGCACGCCGCCTCAAATTGCTTATCCTCTTTGTGTGCCATATTTACAGAAACATATTTAAACTTCATGTTTAGGCTGATGGCTTTGCCAAAGCCTTAATAAATAAAAAAAACAATGTGACATTGACATTGGCAAGAGGTCTCTTGTCATAACGTTCCTTTGCAACTTTCATTATCTCTCATTCAAATATTGTCTAAATATTTTTGTCACATTGTGTTTTATTTTTTGCTTTAAGTAATGATTATTTCACTACGTATTTCATAGCTTTAATGTTTTTTGTGTACTATAAAATAACCAATACTTCAGGTAGGTAAACAATCAATCAAACTTAAAATGAAACGTACGTACAAGAACGTTACCTAATCTATGGTCGAACTGAATCAATTGCGTTGTGTGGTTGCATCTATTCTAAAATTAATGTTTTACATTTTTTTATTTCCGACTTCTAAAAATTTACAAAAATATATTGATAAGTAGGCAAAATTATTACTAGCAAAGTCCATGAACGGCTCTTCGTCGTTATTGGGGCAGCTTTCGCCACCCTTCTTTGACACTATATCAATATCTACTTACAATACTCTTAGTGCGATCTGGCCGCGACGGAGGCGGCGGTGGTGGTTCAGGATGCTCCGTATCTGTAGGCGTCGAGGACGAAGGACTGCTAGATGACACTCGGGACACAGATGATCCTGAATTAATACAGTATTGACATCAAAATTGGTACTTTAAGCGGACACTGTATTAAAGAAGATACAAACAGTAATAAAAGTAAACAGAACAATATTAAGAAAGATGTAAGATTGTTCTTGTCCATCTGGTAGCTTGGACTATCGTCTGATAACGTTTTATTAGCAGTGATCGGAATTGAGGGAGTTAGGCGCTCCGCAGATGGAACAACTTTAGTTGACTGCAACTGGCAACTTTTTACAAGTTTCCATTAACGGTAAACAGAACAATATTAAAAAAGATGTAAGAGTGTTCTTGTCTATCTGGTAGCTTGGACTATCGTCTGATAACGTTTTATTAGCAGTGATCGGATTGAGGGAGTTAAATAACCTAAAATTCGAGTAACGTAAATAAAAATGTGGACATTCCCTTCTACAAATCCTGGAACTTCTCGGAACTGATTATGTTGGAATATGCGTATTATTTCATTAAATTTGCTACAAATTATTGTCTCAAAAAATAATACTCAAGTTGTGTTTTTATATTGTTCCTGCTCAGCAAAACATTTTTCAAGTGCGTTTTACAGGCATATTTCTCTGTAGAAAGAAGTAACTGCTTTCTCTTTCACACAGCATAGAAAGTCCCTTTTATCTCTTTCACACAATACAAAAACAGGATAAGACAAACAATAGAAACCATTGCTGTTATCACATATCGGGGGTTTCTATTTGACATAATTATGGATTTCTTCTTTTGAGAGAACAATTGCTTTATTAAGTTCGTGTGTATAAATATTGTAATTATTATAATGAAAACATCATATAAATACAACTGAATAATATGCTTTGTTGCGCGAGTGTGACAAGAACTGCGGAGTCAACCGAGGGTCCACTTATCTCGAATAAAAACACATCCGTGTCGCGCGGGGAAATGCGTTGAGCGCGGCGACCAATAGAGCTTCAAATCTTTTACCATTTCATTTCTAATTGCGCCAATGGCAGTGTTTTTTCTTTATAATGTTGGCATGATAGATAGACATTTCATCTCCAAAAAAAATAATCGTGCAACCCACAAAGAATCGAACTCACTAGAGCAAGGTGCCTCAAGTGGCAAGACACCACGTGAAAGCTATATTAGTATATTCGTCGCTTAATTTTATATTATGGTAATATGAATTCCCGGACTTTTTTGTCTTATCTCGAAATGGGAATGTCCATAGAAAACGCTCAAACTTTAAGTGACCTAAGGCGCTGCGCAGATGGTGCAACTTTTGATCATCTAGTTTCGGCAACTGGCAACCCGCAACTAGCTGTTTATGACGTTTTTCACATAATTTCAAGAAACCGCGCAGACGTAGCAACTTCAGTTGAGAGTTTCGGCAATCGACTACAGTTTTCGATTATCGAAATCAGTGATTAAATTCTTAATTGCCGCAACTAGAAACTTGCAAATTTGTACTGGTTGTCTCCAGTTGCCAGTTTCCGCAACCTGCAACCGCAACTTGTGAAGCAATTTCACTCCCTTCCCGTCCCCCACAGCGTCAGTCTCGACTGTGGATTTCAAAGTTTATTTAAAATTGCGAAATCGGCAACTAGGCCCCTTAGTTGCTACAACCGGCAACCGTTAATGGAAACTTGTAAAAAGTTGCCAGTTGCAGTCAACTAAAGTTGCTCCATCTGCGGAGCACCTAACTCCCTCCATTCCGATCACTGCTTATCAGTCATGCTATTGTCATTTAACGTCAGTTACGTTAATCGTTGTATAGTATTTACCTGAATGGGTAGTATGCATTTGCGCGGAGGTCATGTATTTGGAAGGCGGCGGCTGCGTGGCAGACGCATCGTACCACTTCAGTACATCTAGAACTGCTTGCGGGTTGCTCTTCTGTTCTTGCTTGCTGATGTTTGATGCCATCAACAAACGAGCCCATGCTTCTGGCATTCCCTGAGAAGCAAACGTTTTTCTCAGTGCTGAATAGTCACTTAGACAGAAAGTATAAACGCGCGATTGTTGCGGTTATGGTGACTATTTTTACGCGTTATGATTTTGTATGTTGCTATTACATGTTTTCTATTACTTGTCGTCGAGTTGCGGACACCAGCCCGTTACACCAAGTACCAAGTACCAAGTACATGTTTTCTAACCAAACGACTTTAAACTAATAGGTATGTAAAAGTGAGTCTAATGAATTTATTAGACACACTTTTATATATATAAATGATGAACCTTTGTGAGTTATATTGACTCCTAAACTAATCGCGCGTTCATACTAAAATTGTACTGAAAAGTCACTCGTTTTCTTAGGTTAAGTTTATAAAATTCATGCAATAAGCTTGGGAAACATTTCGTTCATGATGTTGGTTGCCAACATACATATACTATATCTTGATAGAAATAAAATCTAGATTCAATCAGTAGAGCGTCAATTTTTTATACCTATTAGTTTGTAAATAGAAAGATCTACAATGTGAAATAACACTGACATTAACTCTCTCATCATACTTTTCAAGCAATATTCTGGAAAAAAAACATAAATTCCGCAAAACTACTTAGATATTCAGTCATACCAAAGTTACCTGTTTAAAATTGATAATTTTGAATGCTATGCATGCCACATTTATTGCAATAGTGACTATAATCTTGTACTTCCAAATATGTACTTAAAATATAATAAACAAAGCTATAACATAAACAATATTTTAAGAAATGTATCTTAACATTATGCCTAATTCAAAATAATAATTTCAAGATGCGAAGACATTTAATACACAATATAAGCTATTACTTACTGTCATAGGCAGCTTGAAACAAAAGCGGTAATATATGGAACTCAATCATTTGGTTCAACTATACTCATAACTGTAATCTCTACTCATTTTCATATATTTTGAACAAGTACGTACTAAAATACATGTCAACATAGAGTTTTACAGTTTTGATTATTCCTAGAAAGTATGTGGTTCTATTTCCATGAACAATCCACAAATGCTTTCACTAATAAAGTTAGTAAAAGCAAAGTTATTGACATTTCTAAATTTACATACTCTAAGAGTCAACATGCTTCCATTATGCTCATCTTCTGGCTAAATATAGGGATGACTAAAGGCAAGTCAAAATATCAACAAGTTTACACTATGTTATGTTTCTTAAAATAGGATTTACATTGAAAGTACTCTTCAACCTGATTTTAACTTTATTTCCTGGTTATACCATGCTTTTTCACTAAAGGTATTCATTGTTATACAGTAATCTTTATGTATGTACTACAGAGCTCCTAAAATACTATGTATAAACTAAAACTGAAAATCAGCAATGACAAAAATTAAATAAGGTGTTACGCTTGTGGTTTGCCACTTAGTAAATAAGCAAGCATAAGCTGTAGGCGTGAAGCTTGTGTTTGTAGCTTGACACTGCTTTTGGGGCAAAAAATTATAGACTACAACTTAACTGAGCATAATAGTATCACTGGTTACTAGTTTGCTGAAGTTTAGAAGTTTAGGTAATACTTACTACAATGGATCTATTTTTTTATTACTTATTTAATACTAAACAGCAGAAAAAATAACGGTGAAACCATTTTCATTTCCATTTCTTTCACACAGTTCAAAATTTAAATTATAATTCATGATAATTTCCAAATATTTTTGCAACAATTCATTTTCAGAAAATAACAACATTTATTGCATTTTTAATAATATTACTTAAACCAGTCAGAAATGAAAACAAGATGGGCAAGGGTTAGCTTTCAATAAGTATTCAAGATCCTTTTCAAACATACACAAAAGGGTGAAACTTAAAGCATGTGTCATGGGTTTTCCCAGTTAATTGAGAACTTAAATACATGAGATTTTTAATGAAAGTAGGTTATTTCTATAATGTTACAAAAAATTACACTTACAGTGAATTCTCCTGTGACAGCATCAAATCCTACATGCACTGTGTGTTCAAAATTAGTTGGATAGCTAATATTAGGCTTGTTGTCATTATGTGCTGTACTTTTAGACCCTTTTATTTTAGCTTTCAATGTTTTCTTTTTCCTATCACTTCCATCGTCAGGTTCTGTAACATAAAATTAGTCTATAACAACCTCTTAGTGTTAACAAAAAATGTACTGTTACACAATCAGTTGTTAATATGTAATGAAGTATAAGTATTGAAAACATCAATATATTACAAACTATCATTGTTTTGTATACATTAAAGATTCTGTTCTGTTTTAAATATGGACTTATGGTTCATTATTGTTACTGATTAGGTTGGGTTGGTTCAGGCAACCAATACAGAAAACAAAGCTAGGATTTATAGTTAATAAATTCAAAGTAAAAGATGATATGGCAAATTGGCCACTTATTTTACTAAAAGAAACCTATATAAGATCACAGAACATAAGAGTGAATTAGGGATTGTTTTTTGTACATGGGTCTCAAATGCGACAGATGCAGATTTTGAGACCTTTGTCTCAAATCTACTCATTCAATAGTTTGCAATGTGTTCTTTAATAAGAATGATATTAGTTATCAATAGCAATGTGTAGTACCTTTAGGCAGTGGCCTCATATCGACAGAGGCCACAGAATCGCCGCGGTCAGTGCCGCGGTTACTAGTGAGGCGCACCGGCGGCGCGGGAGGCTTATCCTCGTCGCTCGACATCCTCGCACCTTACTGTCCGTTCTACAAATACACCAATAAAAATTTCGACGTCTTACTACAGTCACACGCACATGTCTACCTTTATTGAGTATATAGACATGAATATTAAAAAACTAAGATTTGTTTCACTAATGTCTCTTATAAAAGACAGATTTATTATACCAACAAGATTCCGACACGAGAATTTAAGCTATACTCCGAGCTTACATATCACGATATTTTGAAAATAGCAGCAGCGGGCAGCTACATTATACGCCCCATAACAATGTTTGACAAAACGTAAAAAGCAAACCACAATATTACTCATGGACGCGCCCCGCAAAGGTTTTCTATGGAAAGAAAATTATATCTCTCATACGACATTTTTCCACTTACCTGGATTGTTACGGACCCAATTGTAACAAATAAATAACAATTTATGATGCTATATCACATTTCAATTAATAATAACACTTAAAAACAAAGGTATTTTAGAGAAATTAATAATTTAATCCTTCACACTTATGAAAAAGAAAGCAGCGATGACTAGAGCCGCCATTACACTATGATTTAGTGATGTACCAGAAGTTGTTTTCGATATAATAATGATGAACAAAAACAAAACATCGATTTGTATTTGCAACAACATTGCATCTGGAATTCTGGCAATAACAACATACGCATGACGCCAGCTTATTCATACTCTTGCACGGCGGACTGCTAACGGATGGTGGAGCTAGTTGGAGTCTCGCAGGACACAGGAGGTATCCTGCTTGGCATTGCGGGACGACTTGCACACTAAAACTACATTCATAATCCTGCATTACGCGGCGGACGACTAGGTGGACTGCAATGCTACATCTTCTTCCAGTACGTTCCGGCTACTCATACATGCAGCAAAGCACCATTCACTTAATTTCCTGCGTTCGCTCTCAAATAAATATTGGACATATTTACAAAAAAAAACCGATTTCTAACAATGTTATGTCAAATAACATTTATTTAATTATTTAACATAACCTCTACGCCCAAAGATGGCACGAATTTAGATTTTACTACGTTTTCATCGATATCCACTGTTATCTGTGTTTACGCAGGACTACACTAGTCACTAGAGTTATAGACATAATTTTATCTCAAAGCTGTCAAAATCAACTGTCAATCGAAATCTCGGTCATTTTATGCCTAGTGGCCGCCATTGGAAAATAAAATATGGAATATAATATGGAAATAGAATAGAAAAGAACAATAATAATTCAAACTATCCGAAAGAAAAAAAACATCGTTCAATTGAACATAGATTATTAATTAATTAGTTAACTGATTTGTTCGAGTCAAGGCTTCGCGGTTCGAGTCAAAGTAGATAGTGGCCTGTTCCTTTTCAGGCCTTAACCATAGATAAAATAAATAAATAAATTACACTATCGACTGTGAACTGCCAAATCAGACTTGTGTCTGATCCGTCCTTAGAGGGAGCGATCCTAGTTAGTTCAATCGGTCAGCTGAACTAGGTCGGTCTTCTAATTCATTTAGTTCATCTAGTTCCTTGGTTAGTTAGTTCGTCTTACCCTTGCTCGGACATTGAACGTACGCTCCAAACTAGTAATTTTATTCACATGAACTACTACGGACTTTTAGCATTATGAGGTCAATACTACACTGTATTAAATATTTAAAAATACAGTTTGGATGGAATCGGTACTATTTGATATTCCTTCATATTTTACAGGTTTAAAGACTGTCATTCTAACTATGTACTTGTAACTTGTGTAACTTGTAAATATCCTTTTTTTTTACACAATAAGAATTTTAGTTAGAATGGTGTGTTTAAATCAATATATAAGTACAACTATTTCATATACTCATACACGTAGGTTGATATTATTTATACATACAGATACCTACCACACCTACCAAAAATGTTACTTATTATTTTTGCAAGCTTGTATACCATAATGTAGATACGTATTAGAGACTTAGAACGAGCTAGCAACGTTCAATCATGCATCCCACTGGAATTTGTACCAAAAGTAGTTAAAGATCGCTATTTGTCCCGCTCGCACCGTTACTACTGAATAAAAGACAAGTTTAGTGCACTAACAAACGCAGACAGTTCCTAGTTCTGTGGGACGCAACATGCGTAAGTACTTTTGCTGCGTCCCACATAAGACAAACTTCCCATATGGCGGGTTCCGCGGCGGAAAGTGCCGCGAAACTAAAACACGCGAAATATTCTGCTTTGGAGCCTGTGTACGACTTTGTACCGGTCGCGGTCGAGACGGCGGGGCCTTGGGGTTCGGAAGCTCGGGACCTATTTAAAGAGTTGGGTCGCCGACTCAGAGACAGGGGCTGCGATCACCGCTCTGGGTCGTGGTTGGTTCAGCAGGTGTCCATTGCTGTCCAGCGAGGCAATCAATGCTGCCAGTATAATGGGAACTTTTGCCCCGGGCACGATACAGGGCGGGATTTCTTTTTAAATTAAGTATATTTCACGTGAATCTCACTTTTTTTGTATTAGATTACCTATTGACGAAGCCTTGTGCTGATCTTTAGGGTATACATTTTATTATTGTTCATAAATGCATTTTGTAAATTTTGGAATAAATGAATTTGAGCGTTCCTAGTTAGTACTGACCTAAAAAGAACGATAAACTATTAAAACCGTCCAAAACGAACTAGTTCACTGCCAATCAGTACTATTGCAATTTTGACTTTACAGGTGAAGAAAAAAAATTGTTTGCGTTATTTATATGGCATCTGGTTTATTTAATACGTAGTTCTTAAATATTTTTATTGCACATTTATGTGTGCACACTACGTATTTTTATTAAACCAGATGCTTTGATGATGATTTTTTCTTAATCCTGTAAAGTTGGCAAAATTGAGATACCACTGGTTGCCAGTTCACAGTCGATATGCCATAGTCGCGTTGTGATAGATCGATGTTAATTTGCATTTTGCTTCTTGTGTCTCTTTCACAAAATAATGTGAATTCTGAACATAAAGCAATTTTATTAGTCGGCTGTCAGTTATGTAGTTTTAAGCTGATGTCCTTGTAGCCAAACTCAAATAAAAAAAATCGGCTGTCAGGGTGAAGTATTCTTTGGGGGATTCGCTCTGGAATGGCTCTGGACCTTTTGGAGGGAAAAGTGTCGTTTTGTGAAATCTAGTTTAAAGTGGAATAGGATAGTGTTATTGTGCCTTAATCGAAGATTAAAACGCGAAATTATACGAATCTCGAACTAAAATACCCGTATCGGCCCGTTCTAAGGAATCCCGAGTCAATCCAAGCACGCCGCCTCAAATTATCTATCCTCTTTGTGGCGGCCATATTTACAGAAACATAATTAAACGAAGACATGGCTCAAAAGACTTAATAATGTACCAAGACTTGGCTGTATGGTGTAAAACCTTTGCCTTTCCTTTATGGAAAGAAGAAAAAAAAAGAATTCTTTGGTCATTCATTTATCATTTTAACAAAACGTCAAACGAACTGGTGATGTGATGTGATCATTGTTACAAGTGGATTTTATTTAAATAAATAAATATTGTGTGTATTGCGTTATTACCCATGTGTCTTACGTACCAGAAATAAGGGAACAGTTGGCCCTACATTAATATGGACCCCAACTCCGAAACTACAGTATGTTTATCGTCTTTTCATTGCCACGAATTTAATGATTTTCTTCAGTAAACTAATAGATTACATCTGAATTTCGCCATTTGATAGCGTATGTACTGCATAGTAGATTCACTAAAAAATATTCTGTCACTTATGGCTCAACATTGCTATCGAAATGTACTGTTATTACACATGTAAGTTAATTATTTTTAGAACCAGGAGAGTGGATCCAAGAAGAATGTGTTTGATGAATTGAGCAGAGAAGACTTAATTGTAAAATGTAAAGGATTACTTGTTATTGCTCAAAAGGCTAAACAAGCCAAAAATGGTAATCAAGGCTCTTATCTATGAGGAAGTGTTCTATTGGAACATTATATTTAACTCATGTTTTGAATTACAGAATTGCAGAATGAACTTGAAAGTTATAAATTACAGCTTGACAAATGTGAAACAGAGAAAAAGGTGAGTCTGGATAATGTTAGAACTTTACAGGAGTTAGTTGATTCATTGACAGAGCAAAAATTAAATTATATCACAGAAATAGACTATGCACAGAATAAAATAAGGAGTTTCAATTCCAAATGTATCGGTTATGAAGAAGAAATAAAGAAATGTGAAGCTGATTTAATTGTCAAAGATAAACATATCAGTGATATAATGCAGAAGTTATCGAATTTGGATAGCGAAGTCACTTCTCTGAAGAGACAGAATAATCGGCTGTCTGATGAGAATGAACAACTGATCAACCAGCTGACTGAGCTTGAGGCAAAGATCACTGAATTTAATGAAATTGGCTTGCAGCAGAGAGAACAGTTACATACACTGGAAGAGAAAGTGCAACAAGGTAAGATTTATAATTTGAAATACTTACTTGAATTATTTTTATTTATTCATATCTAAATCTGATTCTGCATTTGTAGTGTCTCTTTCAATTTTATTTTAATTTTCTACAAATTGTTGCTTTGCAATTTTACAAATTTTAAACCCTTTGTGAATTACTGAGGACCTCCTTTTGAGGTTTGAAAACATAAACAAGAATGATACTGCTAAAATACATTCTTCTCCAAATAACATTACAATAATAAATTAGATAGGAAGTAACTATATAACATTTTTGTTAAAATTATTAATTTCTGAGATGGGGCTAGGGCTGAAGTTATTGTGCCTCTAGGAGGTAATGACCTAAACACTTACTTATTTGATGTAAAGATTAATTCAGCATTGGTTAATATGTATTCTTTCTTTTTAATTATAGATACTGACTACAAAACAAGGATTGAAGAACTAAATAACAAAATCAAAGAACTACAATCCCAACTGGGATCATCTAATACTCAAGCTGACAACAAACAGCACCTGGAATTTGAAAATAAAATTAAGGAACTCACTGAAACATACGAGTTACAAAAATCCAAAAATGAAAAAGCTAACATTAAATTAAGAAGTTACAAAGACAAAATTCTAAAATGTGCAGCTTGTATTAATCAACTTAAGAATTCCAGATTTATATTAACAAAAACTGTAAAAGAATATTCAGCTAACATTCCTAAATGGCAAGATGATATTCTTAAAGCTTCTAAAGTTCTTGAAGAACAGATTAATAACTTGACCAGCGAAAATGACCTTCTAAAGAATAAATTACAAATTGTTGTAACATCAGAAGATAGTGTATGTCCTAACAAAGTAGATGCTTTGAATACTGAGAATAGTTCTCTGAGAAATGTGGTAGCAAATTATCAGAAACAACTAGAAGTTTATGCAGCACAAAATATGGCCCTCACTGATGAACACACAGACATTAAATCTAAATACCAAGAGTTGAATGAAACAAAATTACCTTCTCAAATGGCTGAAAATGAATTATTAAGGAACCAGGTTCAAGAAATAACACTTAAACTAAATGATCTGACTGGCAAGAACAATGAATTGAAAGAACTGGTAAAAGATCTTAAGATTAAGAACCAAAATCTGACTGATTCCTTGCAAAATCAATCACAATATTTGAAAGCAATTGAACACTTGAACTTGCAAATTAAAGCTTTAGAAAGCGAAAAAGCAATATTGGTTAAAGAGAAACTTAATGCAAGAGATCATATGGTAGAAATGGATCATGAAAACAAAACAATGACAGAGCAACTCAAGAAACTACAATCAGAAGTTCTGTCTTTGAAAACAGCATTAGAAACTTTGTCTCAGGAAAAGTCAACCATGGAAGTACAATCCAAGACTGAAAAAGAAGGTGAAATTAAGAATTTGATGTTTAAGATAATGACTTTACAGGAACAGTACAATTCGCTTAAAAAAGAACATGAAAATTTGCAAGATTTGAATAACCTACTTAAGGAAGAAGTAGATACTTTAAAGCTTTCTTTAGAGCAGCCTAAAGATGACGCAGATAATTTATCAGATTTAAATGTCTCGTTGCAAGCTGATATTGTAAAGTTAGAAACAAAGTTGTCAGCTTATAAACAAGAGAATGCCTCTCTCTTAACCGAAATGAAGGAATGTCGGGCAAAAGCTAAAGAATTTGATACCCTGTTAACAGACTATGAAGACACGAAGTCCAAATTGGTGGGTTATAAGACTGAAAATACAGAACTTTTAAATGAAATGAAGGAAATCAACCAAGTACTTAAGGAGCGAGGTGAAGCAATATCCAAATTGCAAAAAGCAGTTGCTGAAATGGAAACGCTAATAGAAACTTTGGAGAAAGACCGGCACAGTATGAATCAGGAAAAAGATGTATTAAACAAAAAGATTAGCAATTTGGAGAATGATTTGAAGAATGCTAGGCAAAGGGTAAATAAAAATAGTGAAGAATTTGAACATATTGTAATGGAAAGAGACAATGCGGTTAAGGCATTAAGTGAGAAAGAGACCGTGATTGCATTACTTAAAGACGAGATCGAAAAAATAAAACAACAGCAAACTTCTACTGGTAAGAATTTACACTTTATTGTAATTGGATTAAACAGTATTTAGATAGTTGTATGATGTTACAAATATTAATTGTATTATTTTTTCACTACAGATCTACCTAATGAAGATATGTCTACGTCTACCATTTCTAAAGCTGAAGATCATTCTCGAATGAAGGATTTAGATGAGACATTTGAGGAAAAGTATGTATTACTTATTATACAATATGTTGATTTGCATTCCTCCATATTTAAGAAATTAATAATATAAACAATAGTAAATCGTCTAAAAATATTTAAAAAATATTCTGTTCATTATTCTGATCAATTAAATCTAGTAAAGTTTTGCAAAATTGTCTTTAAGTCGTATGCACTGCGCGCGGGCAGTGACCCCGAGCACTCGGGCACTCGGCATTTCACCAAATGATACGTAATCTTTCGCGATCGCTTAATTACCAATTTTTTTATTATTAAGATTATGTATTTTTATAATTTATTAATTATTTAGAATAATTAGGAAAGTAGTTGAAATTTTTTTTTTGTAATTTACATTTGGTACTTACCCTTTTTTAGTTTACCTACATGAAGGAATTGCTAGAAATGTCCATCACCTCTGGCTATGCAAAAATTCGCACGTTGTCGAGAGTTTCGTTTGAACTTTCTGTGCATTTACTTTGACTTCACAAATTTGAAAGCTGAGACGGTTTGTGCGCGGCATTGTTCGACACTCGTAATCTCCTTTGTTTAAAGTAAACGTTTCACATCGCTCCATAAGTACTAGTCACGCAACTGTCTACCATAATGAGAAGGAGCACTACCTTGATGGTAATACAGTTCTGGTGAACAACAAAAATCTCTTATCTACATAACAAACCACGCGGCATTTCGCGATGGACTAGAATTGCGGCGAGCTATTCCAGTGCGCGTGCGAGCACACTGATTGATGAGGCGCGGGCACTTGCGTTGGCGCTGGCGGCTCCTCTGTTTTGTAGCACGTGCCGTGCAAAAATTCATGACCTTTCGATTAGGTGATTGTGAATCGATAAAAAATAAGAATTTAGTAATTTTTTTTTTTTAGTGATTTGTGTTCAGTTTCGGATATAGAATAACCTCTGTAAACATGGCGAGAATGCAAATCAACACAATTGTCTTCTTTTAGTATCTAATGTTACCAATTACAACTTTACAGATACACAAAACTAAGGATGTTTGCATTAAAACTTAAAAAGAAATTGAATGAAACAGTAATACAGCTACAAAATGCAGAACAGGATAAAGCGAAATTACAGAAAATGCTTAACGAAATTGGATCAGGTGACAGTAAACCTGTGGCTGTGGCTGTTGATCAGGTTGATAACAAAGTCGCAGAAGAACAGGACAAAATTGCTAGTCTTGAGATGAAAATAAAGGTCTTAACTGAAACTGTCAAAGCTTCGGAAAATATTGCTGTTGAGTTGGAAAAAATCAAAGGTGCAGGTCTTTTTATTTGTTATTATATCTCCTGATTATTGTTGTTTTAAATGCTCATAATCTTTAAGTGCATATTCTGTGAATTCAAACAATATAAACAAATTTATATTTTGATTTAAATCATATCATGTTGTATTATTAATATTCCTCCTAGGTGAATTAGAGAAGAAAAATCAGGAATTGGCGACCGAAATGGAAGCCCATAAAGTGACTAGAGATCAGATGGAGAAAGCACGACGTGATGTTAAGAAAAAGAGTGTCCTTAGCCTCGAAATGGAAGATTACGAGAGGTCCATGAAGGAGCTCACCAGTAAAATGGATGAGAATAAAAAGAAAATGGTGCAGGTTCGTACATAAAATAAAATTAATGTACTCATGTGTCATGCAGTTGGGGAAAATGATTTCATAAAAAATAAATCATATTTTGGTAAATATGTTGTTTTAGATGGAATCAACAATTGATACACAAGAAGGAACAATAACGGCAATGAAGACCCAAATAAAGCTATTGGAGGAACAGATAAAAACAGAGGAGACACAAACCAGATTAATTAAAGAAGAGCTACAACATGCCTTAGAGGAAGGGAGGGAAAAGGACAACATTATTCAAGTAAAAAATGGCATTATATCGAAACTAGAGCAAGATCTTGAAGATGAAAAGAGAAAGAATGAGGAAACTGATTTAGAAATGACATCTGTACTAAGTGAGAAAGAGAAGGTCATAATGTGTCTGGGCGAAGAAAAGGCTGAACTTAATAACAAAGTGAAAAGACTGGAATTCAAATGTGCAGAACTTAATGAATCCCTGAGGATTATAAATATTGAATTAGCCGATTTGAAGACTGAATATACTAGCTACAAGGTAGATTGCTTAAATAAAAGTAATATATCAGAGATGTATCTAACTGCTTAGTTATTATTAATTTAAAAAAATGTTCAGGTAAGGGCTCAAGCTGTGCTACGACAGAACCAAACCGTGGATCACAGCCAAGAAGAGCAGCTGAAGGAAGAAGCGGCAGCTCTTAAAGCACAGATTGAAACTCTTACTGCCAAACTTGTTACTGTTCAGTAAGTACAAACTCCTTGCCACTGATTTTTTACTAGATAAAATTTAAGGTTTTGTGATATGTCTGATCGAATCTAATCGGCACTTTGCTTTGTTTGTAACATAACTGTGATAGTCAAAAATTATTTTTGCTTATACGACTGACTGTCATCTGTGGTTATATTTCATAAATATGTAACTGTATGAATGGTATAAATCAAATATAAAAAATAAAGCACACGCTCAACATAGCCCCGCCACACCCCGGACACTCCATACAACGGTTGAAAACTATTTACGTACTACTACTACTACATACAGCAAGGCGCTATCTGCACATGCGCAAATGTGTGCGTGAAGTGGCAGGGTTACCCATCACTTTCTTGCTCTATTACGTTACGTGATCAGAGCGGCAACATAGTGAAAATGCTAACGCGAATCTATATCTATGATTCTATTAATAGAATCCAGATTCCTAATAATTTCACATGTATAATATCTATTTATTTCGATATAATATCATATTTTTCATTAAGTCGCTAACTAGAGTAATATTGAAGATTTATTTAAAAAATATATTAAAAGTGCTTAAAATGTTTTATTTTGGACATGTACGTGGGGCGCACTATAAATTTCTAGAATGAATAAGAAAAAAAATGGTCAGAAATGAATTTATTGTTTCTCAAAATATTCTCCGTTAGCGTTAATGCACTTTTTCATATGGATTAACCAATTTTGAAAACATTTATGCCACTCCTCCGTGACAATCTCTGAAACATATTTTTCATACTCTTCGACAGCCTCTTTAGGTGGTTGACCGCGTAACTGGTTCTTAATTTTTGTAAATAATTAATAATCACAAAGTGCCAGGTCGGGACTGTACGATGGATGGCTCGTAAGGTCAACGTTGTTCACCTTCAAAAATACATTTATCTGTCTGGCCGTGTGAGAACTGGCATTATCGTGGTGCAAGATGATACGGCGTTGACGGTTATTTTTACGGGGTTTGTCTACACTTCCGGCAAACAAATGGTCATGTACCAATCACTATACACGGTACAACGATTCTCCAAAGCAACAGTAGCCACATATCCAGTTTTATTAAAAAAAAAAGAAGCAATCATCCGCTTAGAGGCATTTTGCACGCGCGCCACTTAGGTTGGTTTCGGTTCATCTTGAAAGACCCATACGCTCGATTGCTGTTTTGAGATCGTAACTATAAATCCATGTTTCGTCACCTGTTACTATGTCCCACACCAAATTTGACGCCCTTTCGTTGAATCTGGTAAGCATGGCATTGCACCAAGTGACGCGATCCATTTTTTGAGCCTTCAAATTGCGTGGGATCCACCGAGAGTCCAGCTTTTTCACACCCAAATGTTTGTGTAGTATTGATTGTATTTGACTCATGCCTATGCCTAAAGATGCCCGAATCTCATGGTATGTCATATGCCTATCTGTTTTGATCATACGGTGTACAGCATCGATGTTTTTGTCGTTCACAACAGTGGACGGGCGACCATCACGAAATTCGTCACTGAGATTCACTCGACCGCGTTTCAAATCTGCAAACCAGCTGTAAATAGTCGCCTTGTATGGTGTTTCATCGCCAAAAGCAGTTTCAAGCCAGGCGAAGCTCCACTAAGCTGTTAAATTACACTTAAAGTCGTAGAAAATTATACTACGAAAATTTTCACGTGTTAAATCCATGGCGATGTAGACAACCAATATCCAAAATGACGCCACAATGTAAAAACAAGTGATAGTCAGATAAAACAAACTGTATTGTACTGCCAAAGAGTTCCATTTTCCATGTTTATGTAAACGGCCAGTACCGGAAACTTATAGTGTGCCCTATGTCCTTTTAAATAAGGTAACCAAGGTATTTGCAATTGCGTGTCCAAGTTGATCATCATTATTTAGTTAATAATTAGATATATTCGCTACTTACGTAATATTTATCGGCAATATGAATTCAAAATTCCAGAACTAGGGAGGGGCGGAGAGTGTCCGTTCTCTTTACTTTTTGTTCTCTGGCCCCGCTAGGGAAACCCTGTGTCGCGGGTGCCATGGACAGACACATAGACAATCACAAATTACATCCAAACTCACGAGAGAAATAAATGTAGGCCATGCAAATATGGCCGGCATGGTAGCCGTTCGGCTACGGAGGCAGTTTAATTAGTTTTAATATGTGAATAGAGTATAAATACCAATAGACGATTATGAAAATTCCTATAGGGAACAGTTATCAGAGCAAACAGCAGAAGCTGAAGCAAGCAGACGAAGGCTGGCCGAAACAATGACCGAAGCGGGGCGGGCTCAGCAACGTACTGCAAGACTTCAGGCTGACCTAACTAGACTTGGGCAACAACTTGAGTCAGAGCGCACCCAGCATAAATTACAAGTATGTCAATCATCGTAATATGAATATTTATAGTTTGATCGCCTTAAATACTTCTATTGTCTGCGGTACGCGGAACAAATATGCTATAATATGATAATACCAAGTGTGGCAAAAAAGTAAGGAGACTGATTTTTTATTTACCAAAGTTTTTATTTTTTGTAAACATCAATGTTTATCCCCTTCAAAGTAGTTTCCTTGGGCAGCTACACACCGATGTAGACTTTGTTCCCATTGTTGGTAGCAGCGCTGGAAGTCTTCAACCGGTATGGTCTTCAGCGTGTCCGTCACACTCTTTTGGATGTCACAAAAATCATCTAGTTAACGGAAGGAGATGAAACTCGCACTGAGCTATGGGAGGGTAGTGATACACGCGCTCTATCAAGAACAACAGCGCAGCGTTACCAGATCGCTTGCAGTGTTGCCAGTCTCTTACTTTTCTGCCACACCTCGTATATATACAAACATAATAATATGTATGTTATGCCAGATCACAGACTTTTCCTTGCCGCGCGACGCAAACCACAGTTAAGTGATTGAATGACATAATATACATTTTGTTTTAGTAGAAATACTTAAAAATTTACTTTAAAAAAATATTCTGAATGTTACTAAAATGTGTACATTTGCCTATAGGTGTCTACATTAACACAATGTTACAAAACTCAAATCCATGACCTAGAAATGAAACTCCAGAAGGAAACAGAAGCTTTAAAGAAGCAGCTGATCATTGCGCAAGATAACGTGAAATCTGTGAAAATTGGCGCAGGGGATGAAGTCAATCATAATCAATACATGCTTCCGATTATACCAAAAGAAGAGGGAAGTGATGGAGAAATGGATATCAATGTTTCTATGATACCTCGGGAGGAAGGAGAAGTAAGTGATTGTAAATTGTTTTCAAAATAATATTTCTCGTATAAAGACTGTTGCATGATGGAAATTTTATAATCTTTTTATTCGTATGACATCCGGACGGAATAATGAAATCCTGTACTAATCGTAAGCCTTACAATAATAACGTTAATAATATGTTCAATCTCAAAATAAAAATTTATTTTGTTACAGGGCTCCGAATCAGCGCCATCGCCACCTCTATCTAAATCATACTTATCGAGCGGAGGCGGGAATAGGTCACCGGTTCCCCTAGAAAGACTTTTAGAAGAAGGAGTTCCGGATGACGAATCTCTTGATACTACATCGTTAGGACTCACTCCAGAGCAGGAAATATCCGATTTAAAGAGGAAGCTGCAAGCTCAGCAGCAAAGGTAAAGATATGGTGTCTGCCAGGGTTCGACGGTTCTCGAAATTAGTTGCAATGAAATTTCGTATCAATTTAAATGTAACGTAGAGTATCGATGTACTTAAGAATATATCGGTTTAAAAATATTTTTTAGGGTGAAACATGTAACAGTATTACTGTCTGAGTCGGAACGCGAGTGCGCTCGCATGGCGCAATTGAGCGAACTTCTCAAAGCAGAGCTGCGACGCGTGCGCGGCACTACACAGAACGCGCATAATACAGAGTATATGAAAAATGTTACGCTAAAGGTAAGTGTCAGACGACCTTAGGGATTCTGAGTATTCGAGTGGTTGTCGAAAGGGTAAATGCAGGAGGTGGGCTGCAATATTACACTGTGTACATGTTTTGCTTTTGTATTACTGGCTTACCGAGATTGCAAAATAGGCTGCATTCTAAAGAGCCTTATATCCAGCGGTGGATACAGTATGACATATCGGTGACTTGGTAAATCCTTGGTAGCCCTGGTAGCGAAGAATAAAACAACAACAAATTCAATTCAATGTATTATTATTGCATATATATCAATAAATACGCCTGTCGCAAACTCGGGTAAACAGAGATCGTAGACCTAAACCCATATTTAGTATTCGTATTCTCGGGATAGACATCTTACGCTTTCTCCACCCGCATCAGCTAAAGGCACACGCCTATTTATTCTCGGTATTTTTAACGTAATCTTTTTAAGATCACCTTCCATCCGGGTGTGATCTCCAGTTTGACAAATGTGTGGCTAAAACAGGTCGACATTTCCCCGTAGGTAGTTTTATTACTTTATTTATAGCAGTTTTGTTAAATATATCTCTTACAGTAGGAAAACTAAAGCCTCTACGAATGTCATATTAAATGTATGCGAGCGTTTAATGTTAAAATTTTGGATATTTCTAAAAAGTTATTCATGTCGATTTACTCATTAGGTAACGTACTTTCGATATCAGTTTAAAGCTTTTTGATATCTCTTATATTTATGGAATAATCGCTTGGGCACACTTAACTATTGCACCCTATATATAAAAATGTATTATAAAGAAGGTGCTATAAAAAAATATTAAATTGATACGAGCACATAATGTGTCATTAGTTCCTGACACTGGCGCCAGGCGACGAGCGCAGTCGGCTGGTCCCAGTGCTGCAGAAAATCCTCACCCTCACTCCCGATGAAACGCAGAAGATTCAGGCCATAGCTAAAGGTATGTGAATCGAATAGTTTTTCTCAACATTTTATCTTTTCTTAAGTGAACTCGAAAGTCTGATGGGTGATTTTTTGTTGTATTTTTCTTATTATAACATTTAGGTTCCTGCTAGATGATACGTATAATATTATAGTATACACAACACGCACATCAGACATGAGGGAAGATGTGATTTAGAAGTTTATGTGAAAGAAAGGAGACGAGATGTGATAAGAGTGCGTAACATTCTTTTTCATCCCCACCATTAAATCACAGCCTTTCCATGGTCAATAAATAAATGACTCCTCCTAATTCTTCGTTGTCAATATACAGCAACTTATTGATTAGTTAGATTCTGACCGTGGTGGAGTGATGATTGGTCGCAACCAAGTATTTCCCTTCCGTCTTGGCCATATATTAAATATCTTATGTTTGTTATATTATACAGTACGTCTTACGCCCATGCTACACGGACGGCAAGTACAGACAGCAGCACATCAAACTACACATAGACAGATCATGTTTCGTTGTACCTGTAGACGATATTCGAACAAAATTGATGTGCTGTTGACTGTACGCCTTCGGACCAGTTATAACATTGACTTATACCATTAATGGTATAAGTGGTACTAACCTGTAATGGTATAGGTGGCACTAGTTTATCCAAGTTATACCATTGGATAATAAATAATGCTATATAAGATACTTACCTGTCCCATTTATACCTGTAATGGTATATAGGTAGATGGCACTAGTTTATACTAGTTACAACGTTGGATAAGAAATAATGGTATAATTTGTACTTACCTGTCCCCTTTATACCTATAAATATTGTGACACTTAATTAATGGTACAATTCAATGGTATTAATTAATGTATAATTCAGTGGTATAACAGATTCGAAGGCGGCTAAACTTTGAATATTGAAGATAGCAAATATCACTTAATTATTAAAAGTAAATGATTTTAAAGGTATAAATAAATACTACATTTAAAGATTTTTAATAAATCGCTTGTCTAAACAGACTCGAAGCAGCCAAATGAGAAAAAACCAGCCTGCATTTTTATGATACCAATCGAAAGGAGCAATCAACGATCAATTCCTTTTAAATAAGATAGTACATCAAATTAAAGAAATATCAAAAATCTTTAAATTCACATTTCAATATAATAAAGGTTCCAAAATTAATACATTCAAATTTACTACTTTCAATATTTAGTGTGTGCCATCCATGTGGCATCCGTGCGACGCCTACATAGGCTGGTATTATTTATGCGATCGCCTTAGTGCTGGTTATGAAATTTCTCCGGTAAGTTTAGTTTCATAGAGAATTACCGCCAGCAAATTCATTCATGTTTCAATTTGGCCGTTATAGCTTCGTATTTAGTAATAATATTAATTTTGATGTTTACAGGATTAGATCCAAACCCAAGTAAAGGTTGGGGAAGTTACTTAGCTTGGCCCGGAGGAAAATAACGCATTAAAGTGACTTCATTGTAATAATATATATTTGAAATATCTGTGATTAGAAATTAATGTATGTAATAATAAGTTTTGATCAGCATTTCGTACTGTTTAAAAAAAAGTAAATTTTGATATTTCTTCTGTGTAATGTTTTACTGATTTTTATTTATCAATCTAATATACCCTTATATAGGGTGTGATCGTTAAATGTGCCCAGGCGATTATTCCGTAAATATAAGAGTTATCAAAAACCTGCAAAACGACATCAATACGACAGGACACACTTAACGATTACTTCCTCTATAATCTTCCACAATTGCATATTACGACACATTCCGTCATTTCTATATCAAGCATATAATTAATAAAATTTATCATAATATTGAAATTATTCTTAAACTTTTATTATATTCTAAACTATTATTCAAAATTAGTTCTTTCAATCAGATTTTTTTACGTTTTGGCTTTGTTGGTAGGTAGTTTTGGAAATAATTATGTTTTTACATTGTCCAATAGGATTTGTCAAGGTTTTCGACTTTATCTCTTAGATCTTGTATACTATTATGGTACTGTAAAAGTTACAGAAACCACTATGTATCGTCGATATTATTAAAATTGTATAACTATGTTAATACTGTTCATTGATTTTAGCAATTATTATCAGATGTCTAATTCAGTCTATTTAGAACTATTTATCTGGGATTTACTAGCTGTAAATTATTTATGTTAAATAGATTATAAGTGCCGAATTTATTACAGATGATGATAAATGGTATTGTAACAAAAAACTACAATAAACAAATTTAATTAAAAATTTTAACGTTCTATTTATTCAGTCGATTGACTTCAACGAACTGTAGGACGTAAAGATTATGTGTCGCCAACATTGGTCTATAGATCTGTGGCGTTTTCGTCGAGTTGCGGATACCAGCCCGTTGCACCAAGTACCAAGTACCAAGTTGTTCAAAAATTCGACAATACATTTAATTTTAGCAAAATATATGATATCTCGAATATGTGGAAAAAATTTAATAAATTAAAATATTAACAACCGCTCAAGACTATATTGTTAACATCACAAACAACACTTTTGTTCTATGACTATCTATACTTCATCACATTTTACTTACACACAAAAATAGAAATACATCGGTAATTCTCGGACTAGTGTTCACTACTTAATTTACGTGGCAATTTTTATTATTTAAATATCCCAGTATATTATCGTACAATTATTAAATAACATTTCACGACACCATTCTTGAATACTGGACGATAAAAAAAATCGAATACTTTAATAATAAAAATTGCCACGGAAATTAGGTAGTGAACACTAATCCGACAATATCCGACATATGTAAATAGATCGCTATAAGCGGTGTTGACTCTTTGTAAAACGAAGGAGTGCGGGATGGGGTCGTCGGGGAGGAAACTTGCACGTTTGATCTTACTAACCGCTGCCTTACTGCCAGATACAGATCTAAAAACGTCTCAGATAGTGCAAAAAACTGAAAAATTTAGTTTTGGTCAATTTATTATTTTTTTTAAAGTTATGAAACATAAGTTATTGTTGATGATGATACTAATATAGTCCTGCAAGGTTGTTAGTATTTTACAAATAACCATGAATAAGATCATTGACTCCAATCCAATTAAGATGCACCCTTTTTACGTTAAACCTGTGCGGTTTACACATAGTGGTGAGGTTTTTTGCTAATCTTAAATAGGTAATAATTGTATTATTTCAAATCAGTGGATTAACTGTATGTACATATATATTATACAATAGTTTGCCCTTTATTTTTCCCGTTCGTTCACGTCTATTGACCTAAATAAAATGTTTATAAATATAAAATTCATTGCAAAACGTTTTTTATTAAAGTCTCTAATCTAAATGTTTTAAATCAAAAAGATTTCAATCAGTATTTATTTTCATGAGTAAAACGAAAAAAACCTATTTGCCGTCTCCCTGCGCAGAGTTCAAAAAGATAATCTAGTGTTTCCGCTTTTCCGTGCATCTTTTCGCAACGTTTAATAATCGTAGCGGATTTTTAAAGCAAAACTGCTATCGAATTGTACAAAGTAAATCACAATAAAATAAGATTTTGCTGTTTTATTATCATTGTCTAGATTAAGAAATGTTACGCTAGCATTCTAAAGGTACATCTATTGGATTTTATTGATTGTGTTTCCCGGGCTGAGTGTCTACGGCGCATGCTCGAGAAAATCGCTCGGAAAATTCGTGCCTGCAGCAGCAAAGGTGAGTTTTTCTCTAAATTTCATTGAATTTACCTGTGTTTTATTGTTATTGTGCATAAAAATAATAACGGTAATGTTTATTGCTACTTTATTAAGTGTAAAATCACGGTTCATGTTGGTTTTAAAGATTTTATTCGCTATCACATGTGCTCGAATTTTGCCGGTAACATGTTAAAATTACGCAATTTTTTTTCAAGTCTGGACTAATTCTAGAGTTTGAGTGCAAATATTATCTACATAAGTTAAAAAAATGTGTGTTATTAATTTAGAACATCATAATCGGCTTATGAAATTCAGTGGACGGTGTAAAGTCTATTTCGTCGTAAAATCATCGCAAATATTTAGTCAGTTGCCATTTTATAATACGTAAATATATCAGAAAAAATAAACAGCATTTCGAAATATAAATTTCACAATAATTGACCTTTGACGTATTTATTGTCTCGTCACTTTGATGTAAAATAATTTTTGTTACCAAACATAGTGGTCATACTCTCTTTGTTGATAGTGCCAATGATTATTATTTCACAGTAAATATTTTATGTGTATTGAATTAATAAAGGAATATTAAGGCTATATTAATTGATCAATTGGAATGCAATATGCACAAAATGGACGCGGCCATGAGTTCTCCATGTGCGTCGTCGTCACCGGCACATGCCACGGCCTTATGCGACATGCCATTATTCTAATTTAGAAACGTACTATTGCAAATACATCTGCTTACAAGTATATATCACGACTCCTAATTATAGATCGAGTGCACTCTCGATAATAGTCATCGGAAGCATGATATGCACTTTCTATTCTATCTTGTCTGGCCACGATTAAAGACGAGGTAAAGTTTCAAATTCGAATTATATCGGAAGACTCGGCTAGTGTAGATGTGGATAATCAATCGTAAAAATTATGAAAATGTGCTCCAAGTTGTGACATGCGATGTGCATCTGCGAAAACATCTTAGATATCTGTAGTTGTGTAGATATAATTACGCGTCTACTTGGAAATTTCAGAGTTGTCTCTGCTATTACCTAAGTATACGAGAGCGGTTAACCGGTACAATAAGCTGAAAGATTATTCACTGAGGCATGTAACAGGGGTTGCGAAGGCAAGCGTAAAGATATGTCTATATTTGGAAACACGGCTGGCTGTATCGATGCATGGGCGGAGGTGTTGCGCACGCCCGGCAGCGGCGGTGGCCGGGTCCCGGTGATGTAGCGATTTATGTCTCACATCTCCCCTATCCAGTTCGTCGAACTGCATTCAATGCAATTTACTTACCTATGTTGGTCGTATTGATTTAGTGGCAATGAACGCGTAATAGCGGTTGAGTAACTTCCAAATGATTAAACATGTTCTCGACAGAACTGTAGTTAATATTACCTATTATGTTGCAATAGAATTTGTTAGCCGGGATAATTAGCTTGTCAGGAATTGGTCGTAGTTTAAACTTGGCAAATTAATGATGAGTAGGTATGATTAGACGTACTTATTACGTCTTTCGGGTAAATTTTTATGAAAATAAACGAGCTTGAGTCTTCAATTTTTTGACGGGCTTTTTTAATTTTATACAATGTAAGAGCTTCGACAATATATATATGCTTATAGCATAAGCATATATGCTTTAGACAGGCGTCCAGACACGAAATTCTCGTTTACCTTATGAAATAAATTCATGTTTACCTTTTACACATGGAGTAATAAAGTAAAATATATGGTCTATCAGGTTTGCGCGGTTGACTTGGCGAGATTTGTAATTCCAAAGCACTAAAATGGGCAAGGAAAAGACTCACATCAACATTGTGGTCATCGGCCACGTGGACTCCGGAAAGTCCACCACCACTGGCCACTTGATCTACAAGTGTGGCGGTATCGACAAACGCACCATTGAAAAGTTTGAGAAGGAGGCCCAGGAAATGGGCAAGGGCTCATTCAAGTACGCCTGGGTGAGTTGTTATTGTTTATGGGATGAAATAGAAAAGATACAGCTATAGTAGGTGGACGGTGGTTACCCTAAACAACTCCACCGAAATATGAATAGATAACAAAGAATTCCATTCATATACAATCAATAATCATATAACCTACCTTTGCAATTTGCACATCAATGTGGACTACCTACATTACGATTTTTCCCAATATTATTGGATTTACAACCCTCCCCTTTCTGTAGGTACTGGACAAACTAAAGGCTGAACGTGAGCGTGGTATCACGATCGACATTGCTCTGTGGAAGTTTGAGACAGCCAAGTATTATGTGACCATCATTGACGCTCCCGGCCATAGAGACTTCATCAAGAACATGATTACTGGTACCTCCCAGGTAAACAATTGGACCCATGCGTACCTTTAGGTACAACGTAAAAAGCTCAGGTATATTGTTACGTGAGGATCTTTGTACCCACATTATTTATTAGCCAACACGGTGGTTGAAATGTACAGTTTACAAAGCTTGCTCCGGTTTGCTTTACAAATTGTTACCTACCTAAACACACTAATTTTTTCACGTATTATATAATCTATCATAGTCTGGCAATCTGATAGATTTAAGTAGCTCTAAGGATCGTATTCCAGAACTCTACTCAATGCTCAAGTCAGGACTGAAGTATGATTTCAAGCACTGGAAATCATACTGAAGTCCTTGTCATTGGGGTCGTATTTCCAGTGCTTGAAATCATACTCAAGTCCTGACTTGAGAATTGAGTAGAGTTCTGGAATACGATCCTCAGATGGTTACCTTACTACCGATCACAATTACAATTTTACTATGTAAAATTAGTAATGTACCTACCTTACCTACCATAAAATAAGGACATTTTCTACGATTTACCAGGCCGACTGTGCCGTGTTGATCGTGGCTGCGGGTACTGGCGAATTCGAAGCCGGCATCAGCAAGAACGGTCAAACCCGCGAACATGCACTCCTCGCATTCACTTTGGGTGTAAAACAACTAATCGTGGGTGTTAACAAAATGGACTCCACTGAGCCACCATACCACGAGGCTCGCTATGAGGAGATCAAGAAGGAGGTCTCCTCGTACATCAAGAAGATCGGTAAGTGACAGATTTTAAAATTTCAGATTTTCACCTAGTAAATGAATGGAGATAATTTGTGCGAGAGGTGATTATCGTTTGATACAGCAGGGATTATTCTCTCGTAAGATAACGTTACGCGTGTGAAGGTTGTAGCAGGAATACTTATAATGAAAGGCTCTTTCCAATTTTTTTACGCATTTGACTGAATGGTAATATTGTGGTAGGTTACAACCCTGTTACGGTCGCATTCGTGCCGATCTCGGGCTGGCACGGCGACAATATGCTGGAGCCATCTGACAAAATGCCATGGTTCAAGGGGTGGACCATCGACCGCAAGGAGGGACAGGTCGAGGGCAAAACCCTCATTGAGGTAAAACATATCTTTAAATTGAGGCTATCAGCACAAAAGTGGTGTAATCCACATAAATTTCCTTTGTACAATATTACTTTAAATGATACTAAAGTACATAGGTAATTATTTTATATTTCGATGCTATTTTCGTCAATGAAAAATATATTTAATTATTAAACTTTTATTTTATATGGAAATAGCATCGAAATATAAAATAATAATCTACTTTTTATAGTACCCATTATTTAAAGTAATATTGCAGAAAAATAAATATGGGTCAGCATCATCATCATATATCAGCAAATAAACATGGGATAGCCTCAATTATTTCTACTGGTTTTTTTTCTTACAAATATTTATAAAATGGCACCAAGTGTGTCTTTAAATGTGAAATAACTTTTTGTTTTTAAATATATCAATAGATTGAATAGATGATTACTTTGCAGATATAATCCTCAAGAAAGATTACGCTGTCGTATGTTTCATAAAAAAGCTATTATAATTATTACTAAAAAACCCAAATAACAATTTCTCTCAATCTCCAGTAATGAATAGCAAAAATCCACAAAATAACTAACCATTAATCGACTCACCAATAATGTGAGTCACCAACTCACACAGTAATTAACCTTTACAATAAAAAGCGTGTTACTATTAGAAAATTTTGTCCTGAATCTTATTACAAATGAATTTAAAAAAGGCGTTGAACTCGTGTTTATCGATCACTGGCGCCACCACATCAGTTAAGTTTTAATATATTTTCAATAGGCTCTGGACGCCATCCAGCCGCCTTCTCGGCCCACAGAGAAGCCGCTGCGTCTGCCTCTACAGGACGTGTACAAGATAGGAGGCATCGGAACTGTGCCCGTCGGACGAGTCGAGACCGGCATCCTTAAGCCTGGTGAGTACGATCATCCAGTGCCTCCTTTCGTTGAATCATGTCACAAATATAGTGACTAGACAGTTCCATATCTTTCTACATAAGTTTTGTTTATAGTGCCCCTCCCTATCAACCTCTTGTTACGCGGGAAGGGCGCTATGACCTGTGCGAGCAAGCTTGCACGTGGACCATCTAACTCGGGTCCTAACCCCAGATTCGCTGTTTGCACGGACTCCATTTGTACCGGTTTTTTTGTTATAATATCAAGGGACGGGACGAACACGCCGTGCGCTTGACGGTTAGCTACACGCCTGTCCGTAGTACTTGCAGTACCATTCAGAGCTTCAAATCGCAAAGATTTGAGGAACACTGCCACTGCGCCCGTCACCCTGAGACATAAGTTGACAAGTCCCATGTGCTTGTAATTTCACCAGCACCCTTAACCCTTCAAAACCGGAACACAGTAATGGTGACATTACTGCTTGGCGCCAGAAATAGGTAAGATGGCAGTACTTCCTTGGACGAACTCTTTCACAAGGAGCTTCACTGCTACTAGCTTATTAAACTAGGTTTTTGGTAAGGCTAGTGCCTTAGGTGAGCAGCCGCGGGTGCACGTACAGCACCCTCCCTATTTTCCAGATAGGGACCGGAGCTGTAGGCACACTTACTTCCCGTCGCGCCCTGCGCAACTAACGATTAATACTGCGCAATTAGCGGATAATAGTAACAGACATTTTTTTATTATACCAACGGGACGAACAATTCGTGCGCCTGGTGTTAAGCAACATGTCTATCCATAGCACTTGCAGTACCATTCAGAGCTTCAAATCCCAAAGATCTGAGGAACACTACGTCTGTCACCCCGAGACAAGTTGACAAGTCCTATGTGCCTTTAATTTCACCAGCACCCTTACCCTTCAAAACCGAAATACAATAATGTTTACATTACCTATTGCTTGGCGGTAGACATAGGTAACTTAGTACTTCTCTGGACGAACTCTTTCATAAGAAGGTCCATTGCTACTAAATGAATATTGTTACTAAATGAATTTGAACGCAAATACCAAGTGAAGTAGGTACGTCGATACGATCTAGAACCAATTTCGAGATCGTACCGATTGATTTTGTGTGTCGTTATATTAACGAGGACTCACTCGATCATGGAAATTATTCCTATGGAAATAAAACCGGCTAATTTCAAAATACACGATCATTTTGTAAACATCGTGTGTAAGAACACTAATATAATTGAAAACTACAATGTTCCTTGAACATTTGCCGTATTATTTACGTAGTAACTATTAAGTAATCTGTAGTATTACATAGAAAGCACTAGTGCTTGAAAGCGAAGCGTAATCTCAAAAAGATTTAATCTTTATGCCGTGTATTGATCGCGGGAGTTGCGAGACGCGTAGGCGAGTTCTACAAATTGAACCTGTAAAAGACCCATTCACTTGCTCCTTAAAAAAAAACTTATTTTTCGTTAGTTAGTACTTACATAGTGAGTGGTAGTAAGTGGCAGTGGGCGGGGCACATAGCTAGGAAAACCGATGGCCGTTGGGGCGGAAAGGTTCTTCAATGGCAACCGCGCACCGGACGACGCTCCGTGGGTAGGTGGAGATCGTTGAGGAAGGCCTGTACCCAGCAGTGGGCGTCGTATGGCTGAGTGATGATGATGAGTACTTACAAAAGCTATTTGGTACGACGAAAAAAATAATAATATATTACTCAAAGTTTTAGCGGCCTAACGGTTTGCGCTATGGGCGCTGTACAAGGAGGTCCTGTGTTCGATTCCCGGTACGCCTAATTTGGGAAACGAACTTTTCTAAATTGGTCAGTGCCCAGTGCCCCCGGTGTGAATTCCGTTCCTCTGATACTTAATAAGTTTGAAACCAGGTGATTTGTGTGGTTGTGGATAATTTTCAGGTAAGTTTTTTGTACTCAATTTTGGTGACAATTTCTTGTTATTTAAATATTTATAGAATATCATCATGAAGTATTATTTAATATTCGATTGTGGTAACCTGAAATATTCTGTAATATTTCACGATGATATATTTGAGTAATTAAATAATAAAAATTGTCACCAAAATTGAGTACAACAAACTTACCTGAAAATTACTGTTGTCTGGCACTTTATTTTGTTGTTATGTAACATTTATTTTGATTGATTGATTGATGATTACATTTAGTGTAGGAATAGTTATGGCATTGATTAGGTGTTTCGCAAATATAGATTCCTTCATTGTTCATTAATATATTGTCATAATAACTTTTACTCATGCCCTTGGATTACCATTGGGGTGGGCAGAAATTATCGATCCGCACTTAGCACGATGCTGGCAAACCCCTCTTGGTTATAGTAGCAAGCAAGAGGGTTTTGCCAGGAGTAGTAAGTAGCTCTACTTTTTTGCGAAACAGTTCATTCATTCAGGGAAGTATTGCCACCTTACCTATTTCTCCCGCCAAGCAGTAATGTAAGCATTATTGCGTTTCAGTTTTAAGGGATAAGGTTGCTGGTGAAATTACAGGCCCATAGGGCTTGTATGCTTGGCAGTGCCTCTCAGATGTTTGTGATTTGACGCGACAATCTACGACATCTATTTTGAATTTCATACAATCTTCCGTATCTTTATCCAAGATTTATAATTTTTTAATTGTTCAGTAGTCACAATGTGCTTTGGCATTCTACAGGTATGGTTGTGGTGTTCGCACCGGCCGCTATCACCACTGAGGTGAAGTCGGTGGAAATGCACCACGAGGCACTGCAGGAGGCCATGCCTGGCGACAACGTTGGATTTAACGTTAAGGTACGTGACTTTGTATGTACGGAACTTGTTTGTTATATCCATTAAAATGTTAGAACAAAAAATCAATAATCCAACCTAAATAAGTTTTGGTACATACTTAATATAAATTCGCATTATATATCTGCGTTGACTGAAAAAAGAGACGAACGGTTAATAACAAAGTTTATTGTGTATGTTTTAATTTATATTTTTTTAGTTCGTAATTATTCAGCTCTACTTTTTAAGGCAAAATGGTATCTTGATTGAGTAGGCTTTGAAGCGCGTGAGGTAGACGTGTAGGAATTCATTGCACGATATTTAAACGTTTGTTTTTTAGAAACAAAATATACTCTCTGTTACTGTAAAATACTCTCATAGTCCCTGACGTATTTATTACAGAACACGTGAAAGAAAATGTCATTGAAATATCTCTAATGTAACAATAGAATGAAACTAATTTTTCTGTGGTTAATGTATGTATATACTTAGTAAAAAATTAAAATTTTGCGGAACTTGGTGATTTTTTTACTGAGCCAAGTTTTGTCAATCGTGTTTCGGGTCCCACTCTCACTTCACCTTAAGTTATTATACCATAACCTCACGGAGTATGCCGTAATCACGAAGGAAAGGATTGAGAAAACCTTCATACTAAACACTAAAACGTGTAGGTAAATAAATTTGCCATTCTCCGAATTCAGTGAAAGTTAAATCGTGCAATATTATTACTTATTTAAAGACTATAAAAATTATTTTCGTGTAAAATATTTCAGAACGTGTCCGTGAAGGAACTGCGCCGCGGGTACGTCGCTGGGGACTCCAAGAACGCTCCACCGAAAGGAGCTTCTGATTTCACCGCTCAGGTGAGATTTTTTGCCCAAAATTATAAATTAGATGTATAGAAATAATATGGAGGATAAAAACAGTGGAATTTTTATGTAAATCTACAAATTGCACATTGTTAAAGTCATATTATTTAAGTTATACATTGATGTGATTAACTAATGAAACTAATTAATTTCTAATATTATAAAGTGTATGCGGTTTAAGTATTTGGCATTGTGACCGCAAGCAAAAATAATTTCGAAATCATATCATGTTTGTAATAGCAATGTGCAAGATCGTTTACGTTAATGGCCTGGCAACTGTTATTGCACTGGTTTAAAAGTTAATTGTTTTCTAATGACTCCGTGGACCAGATGCTCGTTGCAAAATATTTTGCTTACTCAATGACCAATTTTAATACACTGAAAATGATCTTTGAGAAATGGAACCGGATCTTGTGGAAGAGTTTGTCCAGAAAAGTACTAAGTTACCTATTTCTGCCGCCAAGCAGTAGGTGATGTGAGCATTATTGTGTTTCGGTTTTGAAGGATAAGGGCGCTGGTGAAATTACAGACACATAGGACTTGTCAACTTATGTCTCAGGGTGACGGGCGTAGTGACAGTGTTCCTCAAATCTTTGCGATGTGAAGCTCTGAATGGTACTGCAAGTGCTATGGACAAACGTGTCGCTTACCACCAGTGACGGGACTAGGTATCATAAAAAAATCGGTGAAAGCTGTATAAACTCTTCTACATAAAAACTTTTACACATAAATTTTGCATGTATGTATGCTGTGTATTATAAAATTGTGTACCGTACTAAGCAGGGCCGTTATCCTTGTGGCCCTCTATTTATATTTTACATAATATTTTTTTTCTATTACATACACTTTAAATAGCCCGACTGAATAACTGGGCTTGTGCACAAAGGTGCACTGGTTTTAACTACTGATACCAAGGATGTGTGAAAATGATCTTAGGTGATCGTGTTAAACCATCCTGGGCAAATCAGCAAAGGCTACACTCCGGTGTTGGACTGCCACACTGCCCACATCGCCTGCAAATTTGCTGAGATCAAGGAGAAGTGCGACCGTCGTACTGGTATGAATAAGATTTTAGACTTATTTTTCAACAGGGAAGCTACATTTCAATAATAGAATATTTTGTTTTGAATACGTAACACTACATTGTAATATTTTAAATATATTGTAACTCAAGAGACAAACCAAATACAGATAAAAAACATAAGACGAACAATAGGCGGTGTATAAAGAGTATTTTTTTTAATGGGACAGTGTGGGGAAATCTGAAACCATAGAACAGGAAACTGTCTTTGGAACCATTAAGTCTTTTTTTGGGAAAACAATTTTGATATAGTATGAATAACATTATTCAAAATTTTTTTTAGTGTTGATCGACACAGTTTCATGAAGGTATAATTTCATTGTATGAGACGAAAAACATTTTTGAAATTTGTCCAACAACAAAAAACCGGGACAGCTGAACTGTCCCGATTTTTTTCGTCCCATACAATGAAATGATCCTTACATAAAAGTAAGTCGATCAGCATTAAACAAAATTTGATCAATTTTATTTATTTATATGGATAACGCAAGCCTGACCAAAAAATTGACTATGCCAAAATTGTTTTCCCAAAAAAAGACTTAATGGTTCCTGAGACAGTTTCCTTGTATCTTCTATGGTTTCGGATTTCCCCATACTGTCCCATTAAAAAAAACACTATATCTCTCTTCTATTTCTTTCAATTGATCTGAATTCGACGGTAACCGCACGATTTTGTACATTAGCGCAATAAAATCGAACTACCTATTCACACCTGTTCTGCGAGACTGACACGAGGGTAAAAATAATCATCCGTTCCAATTAGCTCATGACGTTATGGCTGGAATCTCATACAAAAATGTACACAATACTATTGCCATGCCCGTGGCGTTTGATCTGAATACTTTATCGATGTAAATCAGCTATACATATTTTAAACAGGCAAGACCACGGAGGTAGACCCGAAGTCGATAAAGTCCGGTGATGCGGCTATCGTGACGCTGGTGCCGACCAAGCCGCTCTGCGTGGAGTCCTTCCAAGAATTCCCGCCGCTCGGTCGCTTCGCCGTCCGCGATATGCGTCAGACTGTTGCAGTCGGCGTCATCAAGGTACCAATTACTTATTACAACCTAATTTTAACCGACTTCAAAGAAAGGAGGAGGTTATCAATTGTTTATCTATGTTTTTTTTTGTATGCGACGTGATAACTCCAGAAATTTGTGAACCGATTTTGATGATTCTTTTTTTGTTGCAAAGAGGATACCTTAGAAGTCGTCCCATTTAAATTTGAAGAAAATATTCCACACTAAGGGTGGCAAACCAAGGGATGAGTGACTTTTGAGGTCGGTTTTTTTAGTACTCTGTACTAATCTTGTCATGGCCTCTCCACTAAATAATAATGTGCCATAAGTCACATTTGATAAATTGGCGAACACGGTAAAACTCAATCGTATACGAGCTTATCAGCGCAAAAGTGGTGTTTTTACCCCACATATTTTTTTTTTGTGCAATATTATTTTAAATGATACTAAAGTACATAATTAATATTTTGATGCTATTTTCATAATATATACACGCTTCAAAGTGTCTATGGATCAAACATGTTTTTGCCAATTAGTGAAAATCAGATTTTTTTTAAGAATTTTTTTAACACCAGAGGTTTTTTGTTAATTTAATAATTGAAAAAAAAAATTTAATAAATTTATATTATTATTTTTATTTCTGAATCTGTTACCCAGTTTGTCTCTCTTTTGTGCTTTACATGTGCCTTTCTGGTCAGAGGCAGTCAAGATTCAGAAACTTGTTAAAGCTTCTGGGTAGGCAGTCCGTCCTGTCAGTAACAAGTTCATGGTTTACTGTGCCATATTGAAGCCGATATGGCTTTATGGCATTCAGTTATGGGCCACCGCCTCCAAATTAATCATCTAATGCTTTCGAAGAGTCCAAAACAACATCCTTCGAAGTACCGCACTAAAAAAAATTTGATCATATTTGTTCATTTTTGTGGACAACTCACGCTTGAACAAGAAATTGACTATACCAGTCAACCGTGACCATGGGACCTGTAAAGGGCCCGAAACGTCGGTTTGTTTGAAAAAACAAATATACGCGATTTAAATCCGGAAAAATAGTTTCATTCCTATGTGTAACAATCGCGAAAACCTAAGAACTCGATATATACCAAAATTGTTTTCACAAAAAACAACTTAATGGTTCCTAAGACAATTTCCTTGTACTTCTATGATTGAGAAATTCCGCATACTGTCTCATTTAAAAAAACCTCTGTATACTGGTCAAATATGATTAATATATATGTAAAATTTGTCTAATTTTAAGTCCCTCATCTGTAAGCATTTCATGGGGTTACACCGCTTTTGCGCCGACACCTGTTAACGCGGGCGGTTCAAATGTAATTCACTCGCAGCCAGTAAGCCTTTGCGCCCATTGACAAATTTATGTAGTAGCATGGCGCCGTGAACGCGCGATAATGAAACGCGCGTCGTCTGCGTCTTACCTAAACAAGTCTAGAAAATACCTTTATACTTTTCGTGATTTTTTCGTAGGCTTATTATCCACTGATGCGAAAAGAGGCATGTGTTTATGCAATGAATGTTTTGTTGCAGAACGTTACTTTCAAGGAAGTAACTACGGGTAAAATCACCAAGGCCGCCGAGAAGGCCCAGAAGAAGAAATAACTATGGTGCACCCCGAACAAAGTACTGCAGCCTGTAACCATCGTCTGCATTGTGGCGCTCCTCAGTTCCTCACCATCCAGTGTATATCTATCGTCTAAAAATGTCTCTTCGGCATGCGTCTTCTCACAAGTATCTCCTTTTGGATCCGACAATACTGTTCTTTCGAACTTGGCAGCTATCGGTTTTGATGTTTTCCACGAGCGCCCACCAGACGGTGGTTATAATGCACCGAGCACCACAAAGTATCCAAAATCGCTGTTGTGTCCCGGCCGCATTCGAGCCTCCCTAGCGTCCCCCCCTGATCGGAGCTTCTTCACTGGTGACATCACTCTCGTCCCTGACAAATGCATTTATCATAGCTCGATATTCTTAAAGTTAGTTCGTTTTAGTTACGCTTACGTATTAAGTTTATGTCTTTGTGATTATTTTAGTCGTAAGTTACTTGCCAAGTTTGAGTTTCCGTACTTGAAAGCTCGTTACGTTTTATTTTTTCATCGCAAGGAGTTCAGAAGGAAAAGCAATGGAGTGGTGGTTGAATTTTTAAACCATTTCACTGCCCTGACTTTTATGTTTAAGTACAAACTTTCTTGCAGTTTAAGTTATTTCTTAACTTCGATAATCATCGCAATGAAAACTCTTACTTTGTGGCGTAAGAGGTTTCAATCTCTTGATAACATGTTCTCAAATTAGATGCGTTAATTTTTACAAGAATGTTATTTCATATGTGTATCTTAACTAGGTATTATATAACTTTGATCATTTTCTAACACTGATGTTCTCCATTTAAAAATTTAATCATGTATAATGTGAAGCATTTTAGTTGTAAACGTCACGATCTTTTTGAAATCTATTTCCCGAGTTTAAAAAGTGCGTAAACATCAGAGTGTAGAAAATGTGGGCGGTTGGTTGAGAACCGACGTCCCGTAGTTGATTAGCAGTATGTGAAAAAGCGTTATAAACGTTTTGATAGAAATTCGAAAACTTTGTAAGACGTAGGTGTTCTGTTCCTAGTTAAAAATTAACACTAAAGTTGATGATGAATAATGTGTTAGGGTTTAAATATTCGATTTCTATCCGTACGTGTTTTCTCATGTTGATAACGGTTTTATAAATTCTTAATTACGGCATAACAAACTCAAGACTCATTTTAAGCTAAATGTAACTTTGTAATTTTTTCAATAATTTTGTAAAGACCTTTGATCCTGATAAACCAATAAAGAAGCTACTGGTATGTATGTAAATTGTTTTTTATTTCTTGTCGAATATTTTTCTTCCTCCCACATTGTGCTGAACTAAAAAATATCCTTGAAACGGCTAGGCGGCTGAACGAAATGATTTTTTCAAAATTTTGCCGACCCAACACTAGGTATAAGGCTATAGGTAAAAAATCCTATTTTTATTTGAACGCAGCCATTACAATTGGACACGTAAAATGTCAATGTCAGAACGACAGCTCTATCTCTGATTGGATTGCATACTGCAGTGTTGTTCAAACAAACTGGTTTGCCACTATTGTGAATTTACGTTACGAGACTAACAAGCCGTATCTGCGATAACGAAACACGATGACGTGTGCTTCGCCGTAAGTGAAAGTAACTTATTTAGTGGTAGGAGCAATACAGGCAGGCCTTCAATATCGGCTGTATGTTGTTTCGGCCGCAGTCTCTCGCGAGTTGTAGTTCGATTTAGTTGGCTCCACGTACGTTCTAACCCGCTAAAGATGTGCGGAATTTTTGCATATATTAACCATCTTACGCCTAAGACCCGGCGAGAGATATTAGAACTTCTCGTCAATGGAATGAAACGGTTGGAATATCGCGGTTACGATTCTGCTGGTGTGGCCATCGATGCCGCTGATCAGAAGGATATAGCTGTGGTGAAGCGCAGTGGAAAAGTAGCTGCACTCGAAGAGCTGCTGCAGGAGCGCAGTCTTGAACTTTCTGTGGAAGATTCTATGGAATCGCACTGCGGCATCGCACATACTCGCTGGGCTACTCATGGTGAACCTAGCGCTCTCAACTCTCATCCCCAGCGCTCTGGAGAAGACAATGCTTTCGTCGTAATCCACAATGGTATCATAACAAACTTCAAAGAAGTTAAAACTTTCCTTTTAAATAAGGGATATGTCTTTGAGTCTCAGACTGACACCGAGGCTATTGCCAAGCTTATTCACCACATCTACAATCAACACAAGGATTACAGTTTCCAGGAACTAGTGGAACAGGTAATTCAACAACTGGAAGGAGCTTTTGCTTTGTGCTTCAAATCGCGCCATTTCCCCCATGAGTGTGTGGCCACCAGGCGTGGAAGCCCTCTACTGGTGGGCATCAAGACGCGTCGCCGGCTTTCTAGTGACCATGTCCCTATCATGTATACCAACAATAAGGCTACCCGTGGTGTTGTACCCTCTGTACCCCGGGTCAACAGCCACTCCCACTTCCAGCCTGAGGAGGAACGGGATGTCGAGTATTTCTTTGCCTCTGATGCTTCTGCTGTCATCGAACACACAAATAGAGTGTTGTATTTTGAAGATGATGATGTTGCCCACATCAAGGGCGGTGTTCTTAGCATTCACCGTATGTCAGGCAGTAGTAATGATCCCCATCAACGAGAGATTTTGACATTGAAATTAGAGCTGCAACAGATTATGAAGGGTAACTATGATTACTTTATGCAGAAGGAAATCTTTGAACAGCCTGAATCTATTGTGAACACTATGCGAGGTCGCCTTAACTTTATTGATGGTGCAGTGACTCTGGGAGGCATTAAAGATTATATACCAGAAATCAAACGCTGTAGAAGGCTTATGTTGATTGGATGTGGTACGAGTTACCATAGTGCTGTGGCCACTCGCCAGCTGCTTGAGGAGTTGACAGAGCTTCCTGTGATGGTAGAGTTGGCTTCCGATTTCTTGGACAGGAATACACCTGTCTTTCGTGACGACGTTTGCTTCTTTATTTCACAATCAGGAGAGACAGCAGATACCCTGATGGCACTACGTTATTGCAAGCGTCATGGCGCCTTAATTGTAGGGATCACTAATACTGTAGGAAGTTCGATCTGTCGGGAATCGCACTGCGGTGTACACATCAACGCGGGTCCCGAAATTGGTGTCGCTTCTACAAAGGCATACACGTCGCAATTTGTTTCCTTGGTTATGTTCGCATTAGTAATAAGCGAAGACCGTATTTCGTTACAAAAGAGACGCGCCGACATCATTGAAGGTCTTCACCAGTTGGATACTAAAATCCGACAAGTACTGGCTCTCGATAGTGAAGTTAAGGCACTTGCTGAAGATCTTTACCGCCAGCGATCCTTGCTCATTATGGGTCGAGGTTACAACTTCGCAACTTGTCTCGAAGGAGCTTTAAAAGTTAAGGAATTGACTTATATGCACAGCGAGGGTATAATGGCAGGAGAGTTGAAACACGGTCCCTTAGCTCTCGTTGATGACTCTATGCCGGTGATGATGATTGTAATGCGCGACCCTGTTTACGTTAAGTGTATGAACGCGCTGCAGCAAGTGAACGCACGGCAATGTCGCCCCATCGTCATTTGCGAAGAAGGAGACAAGGACACTATGGCATTCGCCTCTCGCTGTATCCAGTTGCCAAAAACAGTTGATTGCTTGCAAGGAGTCCTTACTGTTATACCGATGCAATTGTTGGCGTATCACATTGCTGTCCTGCGCGGTTGTAACGTCGATTGCCCACGAAACCTGGCTAAATCTGTTACTGTAGAATAAATACTCGTTGAAAATATGGGCTGACTTACACCCGATCTCAAATTTGTGTATTGTATTAACACAATGTACGTGCATGCTGGATACAACACTCGCGATTAATTAATTAATTGCTGATAGATCGAACTAATTGAAGTCTTACAGCTTGCAATTCAAGATAGTTTCAACGACAGTTAATTATGTACTAACTGTGTACGAAGGAAGCGATGCGTTGACTCTACGACAATACGATATTTTTATGTAATCATTTTGTGTTGCTTTCCCTTTCGTCTCGCCGTACATAACTCCATGTACGCTATATACTCTTGCAACTTACATAGTCTACAAGTTTCTAGAATACCAATTGCCTACATTCCGACATCTTTATTTATTTGGTAAACTATCCACTTAATAACATTCCACTACCTTGTCTTGAGTTGCATTATGTACTTATTATAATAATTTTTTAAATTGTAAATCAAGGTCGGGCCGTTTGCTTGAATTCCTTTACTAATGCCATGCATTTTGTATTCAACACTTCACTCTCTGTCCTTGTTTATGTTGGGGACTTAAAATGAACTATTGTTCAATGTTATATTAAAGGTGAAGCATTGTGAGGAAAAGGTTACAATATCATATGTATTAATATTATGTTTAGGATATTGCGCTGTTCTATACCCATAATGATATGGAACATTCCTAAAATATTGAACTCCGGACCTATTACGTAACAAGGCGTGTTGTATTTTATTGCTATTATTAAATTAATGTTTTAATCCAAACGTATACTCAATGATCGCACAATACTTAATGAATTTTTAATCGGAATTTAGTAATTTTAAAATATTTTGAACTATTATTATAAATAGATATATAAATTTGATTTTTATCAGATAGGCTTTCAAGGAATCATAAGTGACTTAAGAGGTGTGTCTGAATGACACATAATACCGAATGAAATTTAAGAAATTATTTTTGTAGTATATTGTAGATTGTATTGTCTTGTACAATTTAAGGGATGTTGCTTTAAATTCTATTAAGTAGGGCCATGCCCTAAGGTTATTTGTTATGAAAATTATTTTTAACAAATCTCAATAAATTCAAAATTATTGGAATAAATTTGAACGACATCGCAAGCATCAGTAATAGAGCTAGCTAACTTTCAATATTTTAACACTAAGTTTTAATTTTAAGAATCGTGTTAAAAACAGCATAACCTGATATAATTTATGGAGAATGGCACATCAGACTACACATTTTTGTTCGAAAATCGCCTCCAGTGCAACGGAACAAGATACGTCAATGTGTAGCTTGATGTGCTGGTGTGTGTACATTAATTTCGAACCGCGTTATCTATGTACGTAAATCACATCAAATCTGTACTTATCATCGGTAGTATTTAAAAACAAGGAACTTAGCGATAAGTGTCGCTTACATGAACGATGTAATCAATTAATCTCCGCCGTTAATGTACGTTTCAGTTTGTCTACAATTGAATTATTTTAAGCCTTATCAAATTGAAGTACTTTATCTATCTCTTACCCTTCAAGTGCAATAGTTTTAATAATTTAATTAAAGTAATTTCCTTAAACATAATTATCTGGGCAATTTTTAATGGAATTTTCCCTAAGCTGATCCCTAGTCAAAACAAAATGTTGGCTTAGGTTTTAATATTCATTTATTTCGAAGTAATAGAAGAAACTTAATGTATTACAAAGTAACATCACATTTACTTGTACTGTTTAAATGTGTTTTTTTTTGTTTTCGAAATATACGAATTTAATTTTGTACATACATATACAATGTAAGAAAAATAAAAAGTTGCAACTATATATACATCTGTACAACAGATTACAAGGAACTTAATGTAAAGCTTTTCATTATAAATTATGTGTATTATGTTGAAGAGTTGTTAATTATGAATATATCCACACAATTTTACAAAATGACGCTTTTTATTTATTAACAGGTTTAAGATTAATTAATATTTTATTTATATTACTATTCCACGTGCAAGGTTTTTTTTACAACGATAAGTAAACAATCACGTGCAATTTTATTAAAAATTACATTGATAACCGAAAACGCAATTTATTGCCACAGTTGTAAAAACTAAATCATAATTCATCGAGTTCCTGGGTTTTCGCGATTGTTGCACATAAGAAATGAAACTATTTTTTCAAACGAACCGACGTCTCGGGCCCTTTACAGGTTATGGTCAAGGGTGACTGTCAGCCGTGACCAGTAAAGGGCCCGAAACGTTATTTTGTGTGAAAAATCAAATGTACGCGATCTAGATCCGAAAAAGAGAAAGAAAAAATAGTTTCATTTCCTATTGAATTGGTTTCCTATAAATGTCAATACTATTGTAGGATGTAAAGGACAGTGATTCACTGATCTCAATTTATTCGATTTAGATCCGTAATAATTGTTTTATTTCCTATAAATCATAACTCCTTTCGGATAAAACGGAATGACGGATGAAAATACCTTGCTCTCTTAAACTGCCCATTCACTATCTGCATGGGATTCCGCCGCGCAGGCAGGAAACTGCTCACACATTATCCTGCGAATGGCCCACGTATGGGGTCTCGCAGGACGCACTGCAGGATTGCAGTTACATTACATACAATTACATTCATAATCCTGCATTACGCGGCAGATGGCAAGATGGACTGCAAAGCAGGATAGTCAATTTTATTCTTCATAGGTCTAGTGACAAATATATGCTCAACTAAGTGGTGCCCGCGTCTGCGTAGAACAAGCACTTCGAATGACCTACCGTACTATATTAATTTTCATAGTTTTGTTGGTTCTCCGTACAAACTTTCTTCTCATCACCTATTTCATCTCGTTTAAGGTTTATTTTTATGACAAAAAGTAGCCATGTCCTCCTAGGTTACATCTATCTCTACCTCTATACCAAAATTCATCAATATTGGTTCAGCGGTTTAGGTGTGAAAACGTGACAAACAGAGTTAGTTACTTTCGCATTTATATTTTCAATAATTAGTTTGGATTTCCCGAGATATACGCGTTATAACTTTGACATTTTTTGCAAAGGCGTGGTCGCTAAGGCGTAGTGTCGGGTCATGGAGTACATCCATTTGAAGATCAGTAAACATCCAATTTTTGTCTCTATTATCTTGTTTCTGAAAAATTTGCACAGTTACCTAATACTACCTGGAACCTCACTGATTTTGTCATTGTTGGTCTGCAACTAATGCGATCTTTAAACGATACATTGCGGAAGATACATTAGACGAACACAAAACACAAACTCGTAGTACAAACATCCAATACAGAAACGTGTCTAGTAATTATTAGATAATATAAAGATAGAACAACGAAAATTTCCTTCCACCCGAAAGGACTCAGTGTCTGTGTCAAACCAGGGCAACCGTTCTACCAACTGAGCTACAGATAGAGTCGATTTGTATTCGATCTTTGTATTATTTATTATAATTATAACATACTACAATAATTTCACAGAAAAATATCATTCAATAAAAATGTACACTATCTACATGTCCAATAGTTTATTAATGTTTTTCCATAATATGATCATTATGGTACTAATGTGTATTCTTTACTAGACATAAGTACCATAATATTAGTCTAGCAAATAAATAATTAAATGCCTACTGGAATTATGAAACCTTATCAACTTTAATTAACCTTAAGCGTTATATATCATTAAGGTATCACGCAGAGAATTCTATTTCCGTTTACACATAATTTATTTGTGTTTTAATGGACAACCCGTAGCATCTAAGACTGAAACAAATCTAAATAATTATGTACAAACATAAAAAAGTAGAGTTTGCTGGGTATGATTCTTTTCTCTATTCAGAGCTTAAATTGGATTTTTTGTGTGCACCTTGTTTCGAGAAGGAATTAATTTGCAAAAAAATGTGAAAGTATCTTCTGGTTCTTTTATTTACTTGCTTTAATATTAACCAATTAATGGTATATTGGGCTGTTCCCGTTTTGAAAAGGCGTGTAAAATAAGTGCTAACTGACACGTTTTTACATCATAGGACTATAGTAGTGCGTAGTTTACTGAATTGCACACAGGCCGCATCGCAACTCCAAAATTGCATTTGGAACGCAGTCATAAACGTTTTAAATGCAGTCCGTACGACTCTACGCCAACTGCAACACTACAGCATTACATCTACCCACTGTAATACAACTGGCGTGCAGTGGCGATGGAGTCGAATGTACTCCAACGGTGTTTTGCGGTTACGATGCAGTTCGTATGAATACACCTTTAAATTTCTATTTCAGCACAAGTATTATCTGCATGATTATTTAAAAAATATATTTCATTCTTTTTTACATTGCGCATTGTGTTAACGTGTCTATTAAATTAATAAGCTCGTAAATTGCGCCGAGAAGACATCTGGTCTAAAATTAGGGATTCCCTTCACCATAAGTTTATTTTAAGAGCACTACACCCAAAATACAAACTCTGGAAGTTTAACTACACAGATCTTTTACTTTTTTGGAAACGTGGACAGCGAGCTAAGGACACCAACATAAAATTGTGTAAATATGCATAGTAAGCTATACTGGAGCTGGCTTAGATATCAATTTAGTACAATGACACTGTGAGCTCGATGGGCACATTAAAATAGCATGATTAATGGACTGGGACCGCTCTAAAATCCAAAAAATACAGTTATCCTATAAAACATTAACTGTATATGAAATATGAGGCCAATATATTTAAACCACGTTTTAATACTTTTAAGAGTGCAACACGCACAGAGCGGGTGCGGATCGGACGCGTGTCGGGTCGGGACCGCAGCGGGTCTATATCCGTGTATTTATATGGACGATAACACACCAGAGCACGGGCGCACGCGCTCTTATATTACACCCGCCGTGGTTCCGATCCGACACGCGCCCGACCCACACCCGTTCTGTGTGTTACACGCTTTACACATTGTTTGTGCTGTACGTAGATATAGGAAACTATATCTATGGTGCTGTACCAGGCTTGTCGTTACCAGTTGCTTCCGTAACACATGCTAATAGTTTAACAATCACTGTACTTACTTAGTTACTAGCAGAGTTGTTGCGAATATCAGCATCCGCTTCCGAATCCGCGAATAGTTAGTATAAATAAAATATCCACAGAGATCAATGCTGATTGATATTCATTGCGGATATTAGCTTCGTGACATTACCTAAAGGGATGGGGATTACGACACACTGAAATAATTTACAAATTATGTAGAAACAAACTGCATACCCAAAAAGTAGCTCAGCTGTCGTTCTTTTCTTAGCTTTGATAAAATTTTATCCATTATGATTAAGATACAAACGATTAAGACAGATCTATTGATTTTAGATGCATCTTGATTTTTTGGTAATAAACGTCACAAAATCATGAAAAAAAAAAACAAAATCATTAATAAAGCTTTTCATGTTGATTCAGTGAGGAATTTACACATTTTTTTTGAAGAAATAAAATCAGCATTTGCTGACGTTGAGGTAAAAAATTGGCATTCGCATCTGGTTACTCGAACCACCGTAATTATATTGAGTAATAAGTACATAAAAAACGGCCAATGTAACCAATTTTTATAAAACGCCAACTTCGAATGTAAATTACGCCCAAACGTTATTTGCAATTATATACCTACTAATTTCCAATGTTTTTCTCGGAAGCTTTATTTCCTATAATTTATTTAAAAATTATGTAGTGAAAGATAACATAAATCTAAACGAATTTTTACATGTTCAATCAATCTAAAAACCCATTACCGTATACAATAGGTAGCAGCGATTGGTCTGAAGATAATTTTTTAATTACGTCTCTATGTTATTATTAATTTCATTTTATAGATTCAGTGATCAATTTTAGATTTAATAATAAATGATGTTTTAATGAGTGGATTTACTAAAAGTATTTAGGTACCTACATAGATCTAGATAGATTGCGTTGTAATTAGGTTTCTTTCTATGCTCAGTTTTTAAACGACTTCGAAAAAGGAGGAGGGAGGTTCTATATTCGACTGTATTTTCTTTTTTATGTGTATGTTACGCGATTACTCCGACATTTGTGAACTGACTTTGATGATTCTTTTTTGTTGGAAAGAAGGTACCCCATTTAAATTTGAAGAAAATATTCCACTTCTAAGGGTGGCCAACTAGGGGATGAATCCGGTTTCGCGCTTTTCCGTTAACCGATATCAATAAAACTTGGCAAACGGTTGCAATTTCAATAAAAAATCGCCAATAAGCAAACTTTTGAGGTCGATTTTTTTAACAAAAAATAAAATTAATTTGTTGTTTTATGTTTAAAACTGGTTCCAACCAAACAAAAGCAGTTCCTTTTAACTTGATCATCTACATTTGTATTAAATAAACTATCGTAGAATTTGCGCACCGAGGTTTCTGTAGATACAGTCGAGGTCGAATACGCCATTAAAAAAAAGGTTTTTATGGTTTATGTGTTTACCACTGCCTGTACACAGATATTTGCGTTGTTAAGGAAGAATTAGTGAGGATTGCATCCGAAACACGTCAGCGCTGTTATGAGATGGAAATAGTGACAAGACCTAGCTGGGTACATCTCCATGCAGAGCCATACTCCCAGTAAACATCTCAATGGTACCATAGATTATAGGAGCAACACGCGACCTTGGTGCAATAATATCACATCAGCAAAATGACCTTTAGTAGCAGAGCTCATTGTGAAAGTATTCGTCCAGAGACGTACTGCCACCTTACCTATTTCCACCGCCAGGCAGTAATGTGAGCATTATTGACAAGGTTCAGGTTCAGGTTTTGAAGGGTAAGGTTGCTGGTGAAATTGGAGAAAAGAGGCACATGGGTAACTTGTTCAGGGTGATCTTTTAAAGATCTGAGTGGCACTGTAACTGTTATGGATTGGCGTGTCGCTTACATCCAGTCGCGCTA